TTACTACGATAGTTGGTAGTTGGTAGTCGAAATTCGTCTTGTGTGTCTTCAGGAGGCTCATCCCAAGCCCATCTAAATTTACCAGCAGTTCTAAAACATGATATAAGTTCTTAGTCTGACCAATAGTGTCATAATAGTTCTGGAATTTTCTTGTATAATTATTAAAAGTATCTCATCTACCTTTACAGAAATGATTTACCAAAATTATCCTTACTACTTCAATGATAACGATTTTTACGTTTCAAGGGAGCCTTTATAGTTTTTCATAACAGCTGTACTATAGAATAATTCCTTTACGCAATATTTAGTTAGTACTTTACAAGTACTAGAATATACTTCAAAAAGGTTTTAATAAGGAAGTACTTGGAACATAACTGATCAAATATTGTCCATTAGTCCGTACAGGCTACTATTATTTATTGATTTAAAAATGTGTTTCACTGGGCTATTATTTTTTTATTTAGAGTTTATCCATCAGCTTGGCTTTTTTTCTTTTAGGAAGGCATTATTCATAATAATTCGGGAAAGTTATGAATTATATGGAGTACAAAGCTCATCCATGCTACATATGCGGCAACGGTTTCGGATTAGAATAATTGTGAGTAAAATGTTCTTGCTCGTGAGGAAAGGATTTACCTTGTATTGTAATTCGAGCTCCGATATAATATTATTTACGATAAAATAAACCATTTACTTGTAGTTGATATATTCTAAGCAGATTTTGTTATTTACCTCTTGAAATTTGTCATAGGCGAAATGTTCTTGAAGATATAGAAGAAGCAAAAGCGGAAAAATAAAAAGAGGACAAGGAATAAGAAAATGAATAAGATTAATTTGATAGTTCGAACTGACATATAGCTGAATCATTAAAAAGAAAAATGAAGTCTTACTTCCCATTGTTCAAAAACATGACTTTCATAATTTAGCGATTCTCTGGCTTGTCTCTACCTACATATAGAGAACGAATAAATTAGCGCCACAGTTTTTATTTCTCTTAGCAATTAAAAGTAGAGAAAGTGCCAGCAAAATGCTGTTTTGAAGCTCTACTAAAAGCTATGACAACATTTTTGAAAGTGTTCTACAGGTAATACTGAGGGATAATCATCTATACGAATTAATGCCTTATTAGTATATTTTCTTTTAAGCAGTAAAAGAAAAGATTGACAAAGTCATTACCCCCTCAAACATAATACCGAATTTCAAGTGGAAATATAGCAAATGAAAAGGTAAGTAACAAAATGACTCAAGATTAAGACTTCCTTCATTCCAAAAGCCGAGTTTAGATCAATTTTCCTTATTTCCTGTTTGGCAGCACTTTAGCCATTAAGCTGCAATTTCTTCTGTAGAAGTTGTACGCGCATTCAGTGCGTATAGACATTATGTTCATCAAGTACATATTTCATTCTACGGATATACCTTAAGCTACCAGGAAAAAATAGTGAGCCAGTCTTGTATTTTATGCAAATCATTATTGAAAAAGATCTCTTGTACAAGCCTTACTGCGTTCCTATTCTAGAACCCAATGAGATGTGCACCGTTTTGTACTCCACTCCAGGAGAAGAGCCATCTTGTTATCAGCCGTGCATTGGCTACTGAGCCTTTTTCCTATACATAGTTGTTCGGGAAACGTCTCCTTTCCTATTCAGGAAAGGCTAATTTGTGTAATTTTCTTCCCTTTCACACAGATATTGTGCAGAGAAAGATTGGCAGTTCCTATGTGTACCAACATTTCTACATGTCAGTGCTACCATGTATTCTCTACAGCAATTCCCCTTTTATTTTAAAATTCTGCTACGTATTTCTCTGACTGAACGGTTTGTGAACCAACCCGGGAAGCCAAAACAGTCTGCCATGGTCCTCTACTAGCATTTTATAAAAATCTGGAAAATTTAAAAAATTGTCTAGGACTTGTGCAGTGTATATAATGAAAGATACTTTGTTGTACAGTATTTACTCAGGATACCTGGAATTTTCCCCTAAATCTCAGATACTCATCCGTACATTTGGCACTTCTGTAGCTCTTCGTTACCATATTATGCTACTGTTCTTGTTAGCTCGTACGTAACGCGCTCTGAAACAGACAATGTCGAAATAATAGTAGTCTACATATATTGCTTAATGCCTATAACAGAGTGCTATATAGGAAACTAAATGCTGTTGTGTTCAAATCTAGTTAGGTAATTGTAACCTGAAAGAACAGTATGTGCATTTTGTGTTTTTAATATTCCGTAACTAGGCGTCGTGATTCTTTCCAAGACGAATATTGGAAAGAAATGGCCACATTGGTCTAAAACATCATTAGAATGTTGCACAAAAATTTCGCAAGCTACTTCTATGCTCACTTTATTTATTTTGACGACAAATAATGTTTTGCATCACTTATTGTCTACTTTCTCTATAATAGATACATTAGAAAGATTGTCCTTGGAAATCAATCTAGCGTTTTTAGTCATTTTTTATATCATCCACTCGCCCCTAAGCACTTGTTGGGCCTATACTTAACTGTATGTAAGGTGTAGAACAGATATACTCTCCTCACTTCGAGCTCTACATTCTCACCTTGCGGAGATAAAAAGAAAAATACCATCGTTCTTTCATTTAGTAAAGGGCTACTACTAAAGGCGATTCTTTTCCTTAGTTGTGTACAAGCATGAACCCACTCTGCGATGATCGTATATGATCAATAATCAACTTTCCTAAATCTAAGCCTGTAATATTTTGATACCCCGCTGGAAATAGCAAATGAAAACAAAAGTAATTGTTAAGTGATCTTTGAAGATCCTCCAAAAATTTTGTTGGTAATGATGAATCACCACCGATTAACATTTCTGTTTGCTCGCTGGTTATTGTTGTTAACAACACTACGTTAGTTTATTAGGTGGTGAACTTTTTTAAAAGCTCCATTTATTTCACTGTGAACTTTAAATGTATCTGTTTCGGCTTTTCTCTTTTTAAATACTCCTCGAAGTTTACTCTATAAACAACTTGGTCAGTAAAAATTAGCAGACAAGTTAAATTATATCAAGATAGCTCAATTCAAGTGCAGTGGTTCGTTTGTCTTGTTACAATATCGTAGTCACAATTAGGCAGCCTTCCTTTTCTGTACTATGCTCCGACAGAGTTACAGGGCAAGTAAAAGGTAGAAAGACAATCAAATGAAAAATGACTTCGAAAGGAAGTCTCCGTACCAGCCTTTGCTTTGTAGATTATGAAACGATTACTATGAAGTCTACGGATCTTCTTCAAGAACTGCGAAGATAATTTCAAAAAAGACAAATGTGAATCAAACGAAAGCCAGGTAAATTGAAATATTAGGATTTTCTGGTTTCTTGGCTTTCTTTTTCAGCTTAAAATTCATGCGCACGGATGTTTCTTATAATAATCAAGAAATAGACATCCATTCAAAGGTATAGGTTGCATCACCAAAAAAATTAAATAGAGGAAAGAAAAAATCCTGGATGACTGTTAATTATGAGAAACAAACAAGTGTTCATTTGTCGCTGTACTTGATTTCTATTGCGAGAACTTAACATACATGTGTTTCAGCAGGCTAACGTGGCTAAATCCGAGAGTTATTTCAAGTAAGATTTAGATGGAGGGGTAGCAAACTGTAACCATTAACATTCCAACAAAGTGTCGACTTGGTTCTAATATGGCTGCTCTTTTCTCTTACACGATTTTCCTTAGGGCTAAGGCAAACTTACAGTACCTTGTTACTTTAATGCCCGCACGCTATACCTGTGGAAAATAACACTCTCAATAAGTTTTGTCTATTAGACAAATACTTACCATAATTTTTACTCATGTAAAATGTTTCAATATCCCTTTTACCATGAGATTAAAGAAACCATAGTAATATTATTAAGCTGGCAAGGAAAGGTATTCAAAATCCATTAAAAAAATCCAGGAGTTCACTAATATTGCCATTTAGTCTAGTTCTGTATTTTCATGCAAGACTTGCAATCTACTCCCCATAGTAAAGTAATTGTCTCGGTGGATTACTTGATGACTTTCTTTTTGTGATTAGGCATTTTAAAATGCTTATAGTACTGTGTATTTGCTTGTGCATGTGTTACTACAATTCCTAGACGGGAATAACAATAATTTTCTAGACTCTCTATTATAGTTTTCCAGTTAATAAGGAAGCTGGCCAAATATGGCTTGCTTCTAATCAATCTCAGATTAATTATACATGATTTTCTTAATAATCGATTAATTAGGAAAAGTAATTAATCTCAGAAAATGTATCACTTATTATCCAAATGCGAAAGGATTCTTTATGCAAATCCATGTTGATTGAACGGCATTATTCGACTGGAGTTAATAATAATCCCGGAAAATATTCGTTACTGATAGACCGAGAAAATAATTCTCATATTCTTCTATCTCTCGAGTATATAAAGTTGTGAGTTTTTAAGATATATTCTTGAGTTTCGTTTGGATCACATAATGTTTTATTTCATTGTATTCAATTTTTTTTCATAAATAAAACATCACCAAGTAATTTAGAAAACAAAGAATTGTTCAAATTACTATCTAAGCAACAAACTCAGTATAGAACAAAAGGCTCTACTTCTAATTTTTTTTTTCCATATTTCAGTAAGAAAGAAAAAAAAATAACCCAGACCTTTACGATTCGTTTTAACTACTGTTACCACTGAACCTGAACGACCTGCCTGTGTGTGTCTGTACTCTTACGTGTGTTCCTTTTTGCTTTTGATAAATTACCACCTGCTGACATATTGATAACATTATTACAGTCAGCATCTAACAACAAAAGCAACGCTTCCACTGTTATTTCCGAGCAGACTCTACCACCCTATACTGCCGGATACATATATCAATAACTCTACCAAGCTTTGATCCCTCATTGGAAATCTATCATTGGATATATTCCATTATTGGTTCAACACAGCTGCTATTTTCCGAGTATTGATACTTATTGATCGTTTAGATTCTTTTTTTTTTAAAAGTTACCGAACTTGAACACCGATAACTTCATGTCAGAATTTTCAGAAATGATTCCACAAAACGCTGAAGATCAACTAATCGCTGCTAAAAACACTTTGGCTTTCGAAACTTGGATGCCTCCAAGAAAGAGAGCTAAAACCAAAGAGGAAAAAGAGATTCGTAAAATCCAAAGAATATTGAGAAATAGAAAAGCTGCTCAGAAGTCTAGAGACAGAAAACGCAATTATGTTGCAAACCTTGAAAAAAAATGCAACACAATGAAAGTCGTCCTGGACCAGCTTCAATCTAAAATTGATATCAAGTCAATGCTGATTGATCCCAGTGTATGGGATACTTATATCAACATGGAACAAGATGACGAGATGTCCTTTAGTTCAACAGATGTACCATCTTCTACTACCGAAATATCTTCTACCTTAGCAGCCGAATGGGCTGTAGATGTACATGCTGCTGAAGACGATGTTGACAACAGAGAATACATTTCTTCAATGATTCAGAAGAAGTCAACAAAGTTCGGTTCGATTGGGAGTGATGTAACATCAACCCCAGTCAGACCTAGATCTATAGAACAGATGACACCATTGACCGCATCTACTTCATCGAGTACATGCATGTCCGCTTACATCAGTGCTTCCGACAATGAAGTTGATAAAAGACAAACAATCACCAATACACCATTGTCTTCTGCTTCATCAACGCCAAATAAGTACGATCTAAGAATTAATCAGGGAAAGAATATGTCGCAATCACTTGTGCAAAATTTATTCAATCCTGCTGAATGGCCATCTCTACTAAGCAACGAAAACTGTGTTCCATTCTTAATGGGAGATCTTGACAGTTTTAAAAATGACGATAGTTTTGAATTAGCAATACCCTGCGAGTTTGATCATACAAATTCCACATTGACTGCACCTCAACAGGTTGGTCGCAGCACGAACAGTTTGTTTGTCGAAGACTTAAAGCGTAATCCAGAAGAGATTACTAACATAGTTATGGATGATAGTTTCATCAATTATTGAACTTTCCATATATTGTGGTCAATAATTAAGAGAACTGTTATAAGAAAGAATAAGATTTTGATATCTTCAGAAGATATTACCCAGTACAGTATGTTCTTAGCGGGCTAGGAATAATTTTTTTTTTAATATATCACTGAAGCTGTGGAAATCTTCATAGATTATCAAACACGATTAGTTATAATTCCCAGAAACATCTTTCCAAATGTAGTCACGTAATGTACAGACACACACTCACAAAGGCTCTACTAAATTTAACTGCTTGGAAAGATAGTGTTCTTGTTTATCTTATAACTAACACTTTATTGTTTATTTTTTCAACCATGACCTGCCTGATGCGCAGGAACTTCCAAACAAACAAGTTGATGCATTTGAACTATTACCTGCATACACCTTCTCTTCCACATGATTAGAACTGCAATGCTTTCAGCGTTCACATTCAAAAGCATCAACTTCATTATCATTTAATCCTTTCAGTCCACCGCTTCAGTTGGTGCTTTCCATTAAGGTACCAAAGCCGGTGGTTGAAATAAATGTGTTCTTTCTGCAAAGAATGAGGAGTTACTTTTTGATCGAGATATTCCCAAATTAGTACATAACTGCTGATGATGCTTGATTACTTTAACAAAAGCCTCTTGCGGCGCGCTGATATACTTAATTGGAATTATCGGCTTTGCGACCAGTTGCCTTTTATTGTTATGCTACTTATCGACATCTTAAATCGCTTGTGATTCTCTAATTTGCTGTTTATCACTCGTTTGCTCTTTTTCTTGAACATGCTTTACCAAAGCTTTTTATAGCTTAAACTGCTACGCCTGTTCAATTAAAACTAGAAAATTATGAGCTGTGCCTACTTAATTGTTAATCAAAAAGCTTCAATGTTGCAGTCTTTTTCTTTTAGAAATCGACAGCAAATCAGTGGCCACTACCATAGATTAACAAACTATTTCAGCTTTCATACTAGCTACCATCGTCCTACACAAATACCAGTACGACGATTTTACCAATGTTGTTAGTATTGATGGTCTCATTGGGTTATCAAGCCATTTTGGGAATACCTGTTATTCATGCCTCCCATATTTTCAAACTTTCTAGTGATAACTATTTTCATCTTTTTATCAAGGATCTTTTTTCATTCAATTTATTTGTTTCATGAACTCGTGAAGAGTTCCCATATATTTCATATTTCGTTTTACGCTTCAAGTTTTGTTCTTTTTTTTTTATGGCTATTGTATCTGCATCATATCTTTTACTGTTTTTGATACTATTCAAACCAATGAATGAGAATTCCAAGAAGTAAGGCTTTATTTCTTGTCTCAACAAATTCAATCAAACATGTTATTATATTCCAACATTGCCAGGTATTTATAATTTTTTTTCTTTTCGTTCTTATTATTTTTCACTACTACCTTCCATTCTAGACATTAAACTGCATCAATTTCATTCAACTTAATTAATGATAAATATAAAAAATAAACAGCCTTTTCTCTCGTACTTGAGAGATAGGCATCTTTTATAAACTTTAAAAAGTTCTTTTCCTTCTCTTTTTTTTTCCCCCCTCTATCTTTTTGAAGACTTTATAACTAGAACATTCCAATTCAAGAAAAAATCGAATAACTAGAACCGTAGATAGACCAAGAATAATATTATGAGATTGAAGAGTATAATGGCTACTTTCAATATTTTGAATTGAGCTTTGTTTAACACTGTACAGTGTCCGCTACCTCAACAAACCCTAACGGCATTACCCTGAATGGCTAACTTTTCTGTATAAATGCAGCAAAATTGATTATTTAATTGTTCTCTACATTTTATATCATTAAATACGTAATTATTGAATCTAAGGGACAGAACCTATGGAGAAACCCTTAAATAGATTTACGATTTTTCTCGAGGCATAAAATCTTGGGGGAGAGGGCTATGCAGTGCCATATTGGATAGGTTGCACTTTTAACTTCTGACCGGGATGTTGAAAAGAGTTCAATAGGCTGGTAATAACTTCCTTTGTAAAGACCTGTTAAGTACAATATAGCATTAAACAGACATGCTACGAAAAATCGCCTCCCATGTTTTCTTCCCCTTTCCCCGCAAAAATTTCCCTTGCGAAATCTGGAGTTAGACCACCGAGAAAAGTCTAATGACAGGAATATCATCACCCATTCTCCGTGCTATTCTCCACGTATTATTTACTGTAAGCTATTAACTCCGAATACACGGTCTTGGAGGAAGGATGGCTTGCTTTCGTCATAATTGTACCATACGGATTAATCTTGATTAAAGGGAAATGCTTTCCTATTGGTGAGTTGGCCCTTTTGCTGTGTGAATCATCAAGCAAGGCCTGCAGGGAAAGGTAGCTTACACTGTGGGGGGATTCAACTTCACCCCTCCAAGTGAATTAATGCTATCTACCCTTAATCCTAAGTTAACCGGGCCTACTGTTGCACTGCATCCTCTGGGAGGTAGGTTAATATCGTCCGAGAACTGGCATATAAATTGATTACCATTTGCGCAATGCGGATTTTTTTTGACACTGTTAAATCGATGGGGCTGTATATATAATGACCAGTTTTCAGACAATCTGAAGTAAAAATTACTCCATTCCATTTGCCTCATTACCTAGCCTACCTTTTTCCCCTTAAGGTTCGTTGTTTATCTGTATTTATTGTATTACTTTAGATGTTTGCTAGAGTAAGTAGTAGCATATCAAAATATTTATCGAAACCGTTAGTAAGAACAATGTCCACCGAAGCTGATACTCTATTGATTCCTGGTCCAGTTATTCTTAGTTCTAAAGTACAAAGGGCATTAGATGTTCCATCCTTATCCCATACTTCCCCAGAGTTTGGTGCAATTTTTCAAAGAACACTGAAAAATACCAGGAAACTTTTCAAAGCAGATGAGAAAGAGGGTCAACCATTCGTTATTGCAGGTTCAGGTACATTGGGATGGGATATTGTTGGTGCAAACTTGATTGACAACAACGACAGTGCCTTGGTTGTATCTACAGGTGTCTTCTCCGAATTTTTTGCCGAGTGTTTGGAACTTTATGGAGCTAACGTTGATAAATTAACTGCTGAAGTTGGCGATGTCGTTCCAACTGAAAAGATCAGAGAGAAGCTGAAGGAAAAGAACTATAAATTGATTACTTTAACACATGTCGACACTTCGACAGCGGTGTTGTTGAACGTTAAAGAAATTGCAGAAATTGTTCGTCAAATATCCCCCGAGACATATATCATTGTTGATGGTGTCTGTTCAATTGGTTGTGAGGAATTTGAGTTCAAAAAATGGGGTATTGATTATTGTTTGACTGCATCTCAAAAGGCGTTAGGAGCACCTGCTGGTTTGAGTATCTCATTTGCAAGTCAAAGAGTGGTCGATTTTGTTAAATCTGATAAATATAAGCCAAAGTCGTACTTTACATCTTTAAAAAAATGGCTGCCAATTATGGAAGGTTACGAAAATGGTACACCAAAGTATTTTGCTACACCTGCTATTCAAAGCATCAACAGTTTGGATGCTGCTCTTCAAGAAATTTTGGAAGATGGATTAGAAGCTAGGTGGACGAAACATGCAAAAATGAGTACCGAATTTAAAGACAAATTAACCAAAGAACTAGGCTTAAAATTAGTATCTAAATATCCAGCTGAATCAGCAGCCCATGGTCTAACAGCCATTTATGTTGATGAGCCAGGTAAAGTCATTTCTCATCTGAAGGCCCACGGTGTTGTTATTGCCGGCGGTATAATGCCATCAATTGCAACTAAATATATCCGTGTTGGTCATATGGGTGTCACAGCTTGTGACCCAAGTGTCGACTATATTCCAACATGTTACAAGCTAATATCAGAAGCTAAATAAAGACCCGCTTTTTATTGTGGATATCTATTTATATCATTTCAACTAATATTCTTGTTTATTTACAACAGCCACTTCAGTATATATTCTTGATCATAACAATAATAAATATTAACCTTTTCTTTTTGTTTTTATATAAGAGCAAATCACCGAGCCTTTCTGAAATTGCTGGTAAACAGTGAATCTTCTACTCATTATTCTCCAGCAGCTGTAAAATTTCTAATGCTGTTATCCTGCATGTCGATTCATAAGATGCCATTTTTACCAAAATTTCATACAACTTGTTTTTAAATTTTGTATCGGATAGTTCTTCTATTCTTGGAAATGTGGAAGCTATTATTTGCCTTTGTTCTACAGCACTGAGTTTCATTATATATCTTGAAGTATCGCTGTTGCCAAAAAATCCATTAAACACTTCAGAAGACCCATGATTAATAACCTCAGGCCATTCATTAGCAGTAGGAACACCAAATTTTTCAAATATAGAAAATATCAATTTGATATCACTACCATCTTCTTCGCCAGGCCTATATCCGTCATCAAAACAACTGGATAGATAATTCTTGCAATCAGACGCCAATGAAAAAAAGTTTGATAATATAACTAACATTGCCCATATATCAACAGCTGAAGAGTAATTTTTCACACCGAACAATAGTTCTGGAGCCTTGTAAATTGATGTGGAGACATCAGTTATTTTTGAATCAGGTCTCTCATCTATGTTAGTTTCAGTTATATCATAGGAAATCCCAAAGTCGATAAGCACCAAGTTAAATTTTCCAGTTGATAGCTTCTCTAAGACAATGTTGCGTGGCTTTATATCTCGATGAATAATTCCACTCTGGTGTATAAAATTCAAACCTTTCACAATCTGTAAAAAGAAGTCCTTTGCAAATTCATTAACGTCAAACTCATTCACATATGATGATCTGAGAGAGGTCTCCAGGACTTCTCCTAGTGTGTAGTAAGGATTGAATTTGTTCTGTGGCTTAAAGCATGATCGTAAATAATCCTCGAGGTCGATTGGATAAAACTTGAACCACAGTTCTATATTTGAGTTTTTACATTGGTCTTCAATTAGTTTTATTACATGCGCACCATAGCCTTGATTTACTGGTTCAACAGCTAGTTTACGAAGTATTCTTCTTTCCCTTTGCACATTATGAGGTGGTATGTGATGCTCTGTGGATACTATTTTTACAGCTAAATCCTTGACCCTATAAATACTGGCAATCTTAGTGTGTGTTATCAACTGACGTGGACTATTCATGTCAATCCTTTAACTAATATATAAGCTCAATCACATTGGGTAATATATTAAGAGGTCTATGAATTTATATTATAAAGACCTTTATTGCTTCTGGGCTAACAATTTCAACTAGATCACCTCATCGCTTTTTCTTTCGTAATACTCAAGTATGAGAATTGTCTGAAAAACCTTACAAATCGGAACAAATTTACATAATAACCCAACTGTTTGCAATATACAGAACTGCAATTGCTATATTATAAAATGGGTCATCATTATCGTTAAATCTATAATCTAGACTATAAATAAAATTGATGCAGCTTACTAGGCTCTATTTATTATTATTATGACAACCCTGGTGATATCTTGGAATGGTCTCCTTGTAGCCAGTGAATTGCTAATGGGTGTAAACTATTTAGACGGATCACATCCAGTTTCTGACCGTTCTCCTTAACAATTACTTTGCCATTGGCTTCTGAGTCCTCTTTGGCATTGCAGAATGTAACATCGTTCTTATAGTCTAATTTTGAGACTATTTTCCCACTTTGCATATGTAAGACATAATCGGGCCAAGCAGCCAAACCGTCAAAAATATGTGTTGCGTACACTACTGAACACTTTCTATTAGTTGTTTCCCACTTCAAAAAATCTAATAGACGCATGCGTGCAATAACATCCAGGTCAACTGTTACCTCATCCAGTAAGAGCACTCTCCAAGGCTTTAAAAGTCCCATTGCTAGTTGAACACGTCTCTTTTGACCATCACTCAAACGATGCATTCTCCAATTGACATCGATATCCAGAATATCAATAAGTCTATCACCCCTCTGCTTGAAAAACTGATAACCAATGCTATCCAATAGTTCAAGTACTCCTATGTCTCTATTAATAATGCTCATATGGCACCATTCTGTACCTAAATATGTGGATACCTGACATTCACCTTTATTTCCAAAACCATCGTCATTCTCAATGAGAGTATTGTCTATTGAAGTAGTCATTGAAAGCGGACTGAATGGGTCGAGGCCATTAACTTTGATATTCCCAGTTAGGCATAAATGCTTACCACTGAGCAGCTTCAGTAGTGTCGACTTACCTGCACCATTAGCACCAACAACCAGAGTTCTTGTGTTCCAGGGAACCTTTAAGTTGATATTCTCGACGGCTGGTTCAGGGCTCTCTTTAAAACGGTAAGTGAGGTCTGTAACTTCGACTGCGTAGTCCGTCATGATTTATGAACTGCAAATAGTTGTATAAATACTATTAATTGTTCTTAAGGTAAATTTATCACTACAAAATAGATATTCCAGAAGTAATCATTCTGGAATAATCCTTCCTAGATATATTGGAAATGCTACTTTAATCACCCACTTTTTTCATTTTTAGAGCTGTACTACGTTGATAGAAAAAACTGTGTGTGCCAATATAAACGAGTTGGTCATCACGCAGATAAACCATGAAATATACAAAGTATTTATAGACAACTCTACTTTAAGCTCCGATAGTCTTTATGCGGGCAATTTAATATTAATGATTGGATGACCTATTCAAAATTTCTATTATTGAATATGGTCAAAAGAATTTATTGTAATCGATATTTTATACAAGCAGTCATTAACAAGAAGAAAGGTTATGGTTAGTTATTCGGATCAGATCTTATCTCTCAAAATCGGATGATGACAGTTGATTTTGGAGTTTTTTATAGGTATGGAGTACAATCTTTAAGGGATCCTTCCAATAAGAGTTCTTCAATGAGTAAAATATTGAGCTGTGTAAATGCTTGATCTCGCCAATAAATTCTTTGCCAGTAGATATGCCAGCTATTATACGTTTATTCTTATTCATTCTGAGCAAAATTGCAACAATGGCGACAGCAATTGACGCTTTAATTAATGGCGAAATACTTCCGTGACCGCCTATAATCGAAAGCATGCTATTTATATGTTTTGATTTTGGTTTCAACAGTCTTTCCTTGGCTTGTATCTTCAGTTGTTGTTGTTTATTATGGTAAATTAGTTGCTTTCCAACTATCTCATTGATTTCTTCGGAGGTGAATAATTGGCTTTCACCCCTTGCAGTAGTTACCAGTGGACTGTAGACATTGACCATGTCACTTACGTTTGTCAAAGTATACTCAGACGCCTTAGCCAATCTAACCTTTTTTATTGCATTAATAAAGGATTCGTTGTGAATTTCATGACTATAAAGATTCTTTTGGATGACTTGCTGTATTACACAATGAATCAAATCAGCCTCATTTTCAAAGTTTTCTATATTTACTTCATATGTGGTAATAATGTCGGATTTGAACTGCAAAAAGAGAGTTGCATAGATTTTTAAAGGCAAAAACATGGATTGTGAACTAATTATCATATCAAACACTTCAAATATCTCATGAGATTGATCATCTACCGTTGGCTTCAACTCATGGGCAAAGACTGTAAGAACCGAAGATATTGCGTATAAAGGATGTATCACATCTAATTGCATTTTTTCATATAGCTCTTCATCTTTATTTAAAATGTAATTCTGTATTACTTTCAACTGATCGATAGAAAAATCCAATGTTGGCATAAGAAAATCTCTAAGGTACAGTAAACTGAACGCTTCCACACAGTAGAATAGCGACTCGATATTTTCAACTTTGTAAATTACATGTTCTCCTGTGTTGTCATCATCGTAATTCAGGAATACCAAAATAAATATAGATAACACATCATGAAAACCTTGATAGTAAGAGAGTTCACTATTTGATCTGAAAAACCTAATCAATAATTTTTGCAATACTTTTCTCAAATAAGCTCTTTGTGGTCCATTCTTTAAATTGTTAAATGATCTATTTACATCAAGTTCTATTTGCTTTTCATCTTTATGTGTAACTGTTTTAGCTGTTGACTGAATCTTATCATTGTGCTCAGCAACATATTGACTTCGCAGTATTATATGCCATGCTTTCCTCCGCAAATTATGCCTAGCGTAACCAAACTCAGTGTAGCCAAGAGCCCTTAGTACATCGATATCCTTTTTTGAAATCGTATTGTCAAGCAACTCTATTTTCCCCTTCTCTCTGACATGATTCTCTAAGTGAGACCCCAGGATTTCACTCCCACTTAAAATATCATAATGCGATAGACCCAACTGATCTCGATATCCTGTATGCATAATATAGTTTGTAATGAAAATCTTATACCTTGTTCAGAGTCAAGTGATTCAAACGTAATATCTTGAAACTTTCTTGATAGGACTCTATTAGGTTGACTCTATAATTTCCAATATGGAACAGTGAGACAGCCCTAAATTAGTCTTCTCTGTATGATATGTACAAGTAGCGAAATAATACACATATGCCACCTCAAAATGTAGCGAAACAGATTAAGGTTTTAGATTGCTAATATATTATTATGTAGCCCTGTAATCATCCTATCTGAAACAAATTAAAGGGCATCGCTACTCAGTGAGCCCAATTTTTGACATTTTCTTCAGTGATTTTCAATGCGATGATCTTGTAAATTGCCGAATAGGGTAAAATACATAATGTGAACAATGGAATCAAATGAGGTGCTACATGTAATTAAGTACTGATGATGGCAGATCCATAGAGATGGTTAATCTATGAGTAGTCAAGATGAATTTGAAATGGTCAGGAGAAATATCTGTATTATTAAGTATATAAGGGTATCTTGTTGTAGTCATTAATGGAAAAAGATATGAAGATTATGCCTTCTAGAAGTGAGAATTTATAGTATAACGTGTCGTATAATATTAAAATCTCAGTCAGTTAATTAGTACAATGGAGATGGGCTACGATCCAAGAATGTATAATCCAAGAAATGAATACTTGAATTTCACGTCGGTATATGATGTAAATGACACAATCAGATTTTCGACTCTGGACGCCATTGTAAAAGGATTGCTTAGAATTGCCATTGTTCATGGAGTTAGATTGGGAGCAATATTCATGACGTTAATAATAATGTTTATCTCATCAAATACATGGAAAAAACCCATATTTATAATTAACATGGTGTCGTTGATGTTAGTTATGATTCATTCCGCACTTAGCTTCCATTACCTTTTATCGAATTATTCTTCAATTTCTTATATACTGACAGGGTTTCCTCAGTTGATTACAAGCAATAATAAACGAATTCAAGATGCAGCGAGTATAGTCCAAGTTTTATTGGTTGCTGCGATAGAAGCATCATTGGTATTTCAGATTCATGTTATGTTTACGATTGAAAACATTAAGCTTATTAGAGAAATAGTACTCTCTATATCGATAGCAATGGGATTGGCAACAGTGGCTACATATCTTGCTGCAGCAATAAAGCTGATAAGAGGACTGCATGATGAGGTAATGCCACAAACACATCTTATTTTCAATTTATCTATAATATTGCTTGCATCCTCCATAAATTTTATGACATTTATATTGGTCATTAAACTTTTCTTCGCTATTAGATCTAGAAGATATCTCGGTCTTCGTCAATTCGATGCTTTTCATATTTTATTAATCATGTTCTGCCAGTCATTATTGATACCCTCAGTATTATATATTATAGTTTACGCGGTTGATAGCAGATCTAATCAGGATTATCTGATTCCAATTGCCAATTTATTTGTTGTTTTATCTTTGCCATTATCCTCTATCTGGGCTAACACATCAAATAACTCATCCAGATCTCCAAAATATTGGAAAAACTCTCAAACGAATAAGAGCAATGGGTCTTTTGTCTCTTCAATATCTGTCAATAGTGACTCACAAAACCCTTTGTACAAAAAGATTGTACGTTTTACATCAAAAGGCGACACTACCCGTAGTATTGTAAGTGATTCAACATTAGCAGAGGTGGGAAAATACTCTATGCAAGACGTTAGCAATTCAAACTTTGAATGTCGAGACCTTGATTTTGAGAAGGTAAAACATACTTGCGAAAATTTTGGCAGAATATCTGAAACATATAGTGAGTTAAGTACTTTAGATACCACTGCCCTCAATGAGACTCGGTTGTTTTGGAAACAACAAAGTCAGTGTGACAAATGAAATATCATCGACTAATGATGCCTATTAAAACTCTCTAAGTACACTCATAGAATTTCGCATGATATAATTCATTGTATGATAATGTAAACTTAGTGATTTAGGTATATGATATCTCTTCGTCAAGACAGCTGTAGTTATGATCCTTTACTAAATATTGTTAAGTAAAACACCCACATGGAAAAAATATTAACTCCATGGTGCAACCAGAATAAATTTCTAATACCATAGATTAAACTGAATAATGAGAGATAAATTAGTCCCAAAAGTGAGACTAGTCTTCCTTTGTTTCCCTTAGTACGATTAGGTAACCTTAATAGTGAGTTATTATTTACCATTAATAGAATTGGGATGATTGCTAGGCAATTATGCTGAGACCTGAATGAAGTCCCACAACGAATTGCGACGTTGTGTAAGAAAACAATTATTATAGGAAAGTCAATGATTGCGATGAAAATTAACAATAATAAAAGAGACATGTTGAAGTTTAATAAGTTCTGGTGATTTTTAGTGCGTGCACTTAATGAACTTACTTTAAGACTATTAATAACTTGGATTATAACTGCCAACATAAATGCCATTTGATAAGGTATGAATGTCGAAACTGAGATAATTATTAAAAATAGAGCCAGAAACCTCCATTTGGTAATGATAGCAGTAGTATTAGTCCTCTGGTTTTGAAGCATATTTGTTCTCTTGAGGTTAATAGCCATTGTAAATAGTTTCTGAAAAGTCAATAAGATACCATTCAATAAAATCACCAAAGCTGTTCCAATTGTGAAAAAAAAATATACCAATACACCTAATAGTTTAGATCTTAATCCTAACAGATAAAAGTTATTACGAACATCTTTGTTAGAATTGAAATAAGGTTTATTCAAATGGGAGGGATCAATCGCAAATAATGCATTTTGCACCAATTTCATATCACACAAAAAGGATAGCCCTAGCAAACTGAAACAGATTATCGTATTGTATGTGGAGATTAGGTGACCGAGTGCAGTGACGAAAGGTAGAAAAATACCTCTTCTGTCGTAAATATAGAACTGATAGGCTAAAACCATAGTAATTACAGCTATGGGAAAGGATGCAATGGCTAATCTGTACCTAATATAGAGTAGTTTCAGTGTCATTAGATAGTCAACAGATATTCTGATAAAATAATCATTTTCTGGTGATCCTACTAATGTTAAAAATAAGGAGCGTGTAATGTTTTCATTTGTTGGGATAAATGGTGCTATATTGTGGAAACTTATACTAGTTGTAGATTCCAAAACATTGAGATGCCATTTAGTTTCGAATGGTTCTTTAATATGTTGTTTTACAAAAGGTTCGAAAGGTTGTTCCATTGCAGTAGTGTCAACATTCATCTTGTATGCAAAGAGTGAATCCCATAAATTAATGAACTCCCATTTGTTCATTAATGCTCCAGGTGGCACTTTAATCTTTTGTGACATAAATAGTAAGTTTGAGGGCGTCACATCAATTACTGTATGTTCTTCTCGGCTCAAAGTTGCATAAACAAGTAAATCGTGTTCCTCAACAATAGTTGAAAAATCGACAATTACAAAATCATATTTCTTAAATTCATCGATGGAAGTATGCAAAAGCTTGTTGCTTTCAGTTTTATGTTCTTTGTTAGGATCGAAATACCTTGGAACTTTCTTAATAAAATGAGACAGATCTTTGCAACTATGTATTGTTGGATCATGTCTATATGAATTTGCGCAACCTAATATCTTTATATTGTCAGAGTTAGAGAATAATGTGAGAAAAACATTACCATCAAATTGTGCAACAGGAACGGATAAGTAGGGTTTATCTGGAATAGTGTCTTTAGTTATTTTTACTATATCATTTAGCTTCATTTCACTGCTCACTTCAGAATTAGTTGTGAGGTTACGAAGTTCTTCACCTGAATAATTTCTGTATGAATCTTCAAACCCAGATAGGAACAGTTGTGATGCAATCTTCATGCGCTCCTCCAATGGTACAACTTTTGAAGGTAGATAAATATTAGAAGTTTCCACCAAATAACGAGAAATTATTTCTCTCAATTGTTTACACCAGACAATGGCCAGATGGTCTATTGGGGTCCAAACATCTTGAATTGTATTGGTATGTACGGTAAATCCATTCGAATAAGGTATTAGGTCCTCAATCATAGCATAATCAGCGGGTAATATAGTATCTTGGATTCCTCCAGTTATAGAAATCAAAGAAACATTGTTGAAAATAAATGAAGATTTGTCATTTAATTCTCTTTTCCAATATTCGTTGGTTCTCTTGTATAATTGAAGTACATCTCCATCGAAGGTAATCGGTGCCGCAGCGTGTGGTGATGACAAAGTAAGATACGAATGTACTGACCCATGTATATGATTTTTCAGTGTTGGCATTAGTCTTGCTACAATCCCACCCATTGAGTGAGCAACTATTATGACCGATTTCGGCTTAGCTAATGTAGTTGACACATCAGGCTGGTCATATAAACTGAGAATGTATCTTATGGCATCATTTAGATACTCCGCTTGATCTAACATTGTACCACCATGAAAAGCTGTAAAGTCTTCGTTGAAGTCAGCTGCGAAGAAATCAAGATTTTTTGCATTCTTATTGATCAGTATATCTGATTGTTTAAAGTAAAGCTCAGAGCATGCTGCAGCAATCGATCTTACCTGCCTATAACTTCCTGCATTTCCTGGAATAAAAAGAACGGGAATTCCATCAAGTTGTATTTCACCGTTGTTTAGAGGTTCTTTATCCATACCTTGTTCTCTATACAAATAGAGATGATATTTGTTTGCTAGACTGGTAAACTTTTCATTAAATCCATCGACTCTTGCATATGATGGATACATGTAAATTGAATGGCACTGGGGTAAATCTGCTCCAGTAAGGGGCCACCATAGAGTTAAAATGGCAATAATTAGAAATAATCCTATACCAAACACAAAAGTGCGCAAAACTGACCTATTTCTCCGTCTTACATTAACAAAGCTATTATAGTCTTTAAGCCATTCCTCATCAGGTGAATCCAGTTGACTACCTGTTGCTTTGGTATCACTATCGTCATCCTTACGGGATGTATTTATTGATGTCCTGTCAATGATATTTGTTGGTAGGTTATAATATCCTCGAGCAAGACTTCGCGCAATTCTTATGAAGCTCATATATTATTAGATTGCATTAACGAATAATAGGTGGGCTGATTAATATTAATGTATATTGCCTCTTAGGACTATGCTATATAATTGAGATGCATCATAAGCTACTTTTAACTATAACTAATTTTATGCCGATTTCCCGATTTTTTCACTCTGTAGGTAAATCAAAGAAGATACGAAAATAGGGCCAAAACAAAAGTCATAGGAGATTGTTATGACTTGAAATAAAGAACTGTCATATGTATATTTTAATAAATAGTCTCGGAGAGTTGAATTATATTGACTAACCTAAACCAATAATGATATATATTAAGATATATGATATGCATGCTAGTATTTTGATTACTATTTAAAATTTTGAACTGAAAAAAAATGTCATAAACTAAGATGAAGGCAACGAGGCATGAAATACCGTGCTCATCTTGAATCAGGAATTTCGGAAACTTTTATGGTAAATGCGAATTGAAGTAGTGCGAATTTAATTGTTAAGTAATAATACAATGGGGAATGACACCAAGAGTATGAAAATTGACTCTCTTGATCATAAACGTGAAAAAAAATATTGCAGGTCTCATAGAAGTAAAAATTTAACAGTGACATAGTGCCTTAAGGATTCAAAACCATAAAGGTTTACAATTTGGCATGTAACATAACGTCAATCGATCGAGGACCTGATGAAAATGTATTCATTATAATAATCGCTCGATAGAAATGTTTCGTTCTTGTTAGATCAGATGTATTCATTAACTTTTCTGCTGGGTACCCACTAGCACATTACTAGCAACATCTTGCTTGAGCGTGCTCTTATTTATGGGATTTATAGGCATAGTCGCATTGTTGGGTGACCCATTTTCTTGTTGTTGTTGTAAGAACTGTTGTTGTTGTAAAATTTGTTGCTGTTTTTGTGCATTTAACTTCTGTTGGCGGATTCTTGAAATATAATCCTTGCGGTATCTGATGGTTGCCTCTTTCAGTTGCTCATAAGATTTAGTACCAAGCATGGTTCCAAATCTTATCACTTGTGTGTCGTTAGATATTTGGTTCAGTCTTGCTGGTTCATCAGAAAATCTTAGGCCATATTCATTATTCGTTGAATCAAATTTCCATTTTTCTAAAAGTCTCGAAAATTCGTCGGCGCGCGATTCATAAACATCTAAATTTCTACCGTTATTTTCCAGTTCTTGATTCTCGATGGCTTTGAAGTCGATAAACTCGCAAAATCGGGTATCCGAAAAGTTGTCAATCTTTCTTTTAACATCGAGATATTCTATGTTTCCTCGACCAAATCTCCTCCGAAACTTAACAGGGTACTCCCGTGAGTGAAGTTCAGATCCACTGTCAAAGGGGTTGTAGACTTCCGTCTTCCGAACATTTTGATTGCCAGAAGCAGTTTTATTGTCCTCTATCTTTTCACCATCTTTATTGAACACTTTCAAATCAGTGGCTATTCCATTGAGATAATCATTTAGATCACGCAGATAAAATGACTTGTTAATCTTAAGTTTAGAAGAAGCAATTGATGAAAATGGCGAAAATGGCACTTCCGAACAGTTTAATGTTGTTAAATCAAAGACAGGATTATGTGGATCATCAGTCAAATTAATGAATTCGTCATTGTCCTCCAATTTTCGTCTAGCCATTCTTTCTTGAACAAAACGTCTAGCACTCTTTTCCTTGTTTTGAAGAAGTTTTTCAACATCTTCCAGAACAATATCAGGAATTTTGGAAGAAGGTAGCTTGACGTAAACATGAGACATAGCAGGCTGTTGTTCCTCTGATTGACTTTCTTCCTGTGTAACCTTTTTTGTCAAATCTTGAGAACTTGAATTCTTTTGTTTGGAGGATTTAACTTTTGCAGCTTGCTCGTTTTGTTTCTTTTGTGCTTTGCTTTTATTTTTTGCTTCGGCTGCCTTAGCCGCAGCAGCAGCTTTTTCTTGTTCGGCTGCTCTCTTGGCTGCTGCCAAAGCCTCCTCTTGTTGTCGTTTCTTCTCAATTGTCATGATAGTAGGTCTCTTTCTCTTATGATTTATTAAGTCTTCATCTTCGCCCTTTATGTCGAGTTTTCTCTTAATGGAAATTACATGTTTACGTTTATTCAGAATTTTCAAGTCATCCTCAATTAGTTGCAAATTTATTTGCTCTCTTTGAGCTACAAGTAGAGACATGTCTTTAGCATGTCTCAATTCTTTAAGCAGAATTCTTAGCTTCTGACTGTTTAAAATGTCAACTCTTCTTGTTTTTCTAGGATGTCTGAGCTCCCGTCTTCTAAAACACACATAAGGATCAACTTCTTCTTTTTCACCAGGTCTTTCAAACTTCAGTTGAGGAAATATTTCAGCTCCCTTAGCTTCAATTTTTCGACGTGACCAATGTTCATATACTTCTTTACCATATTTTTCGATAAGCTCGGGTATTGGGCGGACATTAGCAGTAGTTGAAGAATCAAAAACAGTTGTAAAAGGACCGTTACCATCTGAGCTACTATTAGCGGTTTGGGGGTTATGAATGGCAGCTACCTCTTGAGCTAACTGACTCCGTAAATGCATATTGTTAAAATCTACCTTTAAGAGAGTGGGCTTTACTTCGTCAAATGTAAGAATTGTCTCAGGATCCATTTGAAGGAACGGTTGTCTTTCCTTAATGGCTGTTTCAAATGCTGAACACAATGATTCAAATTCATCTTCATTTAGCTTCAAGTCTGAGTTCTTATTCAAACTATTTTCCAAGAAATCATCATCAATTTCGTCCAAGGTATACGGCACACCGCAACAATCTTCTACAGTTACTGAAAACTTCACATAAGCCTGTGTTTCTACGAATTTCCCTGAATAAAATTTATCATAATCACTCCATGTCTTCGATGCATCCGGTGTTGGAATATAATCTTTCTTCGAATTTAAATGTTCAAGCACAGATGCCTTCTGCAAGATTCTGTGCAAATGCACTTCTTTTTCTTCATTTTTTTCAACACCGGTCTCGACGTCGAGTAACTCACGTTTTTGTATTTCGTTTTTGTCCAGATTCTTCAGGTCAGAAGGTAAATGTATCCGTAGTCTTTGCTTCACAGAGATCTTCCTATGCCTGAACCTGGTGCTCCCACTATCTGAGCCATCACCGTTCACACTGCTCAGGTTGCTGTTACTCCGCAGACTGCCGCTATCAGGCCCCACTGACCTCTCATTTGTATTACTCCCACCATTTGAAGACATTTACCAGGTGAAAAATAATTTCTAGCAAACGGGGATTCAATTTTATTTTAGCTTATCTGTAGTGTGTCTGAAGCACTTAACTGTATAAGCACAGATTAGTTAAAGAGTTTCTTCAAAATAATACTGCCAAATAAGTTGTTTGAGAAGCAAGCTCAGTGAAGACAAAAACTTGAAATATATCCTCAAATGAGGGAATAAATCGAATGCTTTTCTGATTAATATAATACACTCCCACTGCAAAGAAACTAACTCAAAAAAAAAGGACTTTTTAATTTAAACAATGAATAATCTTCTACTTGCTTAGTAAACGTTCCCTTTTTTTTTCTTTCTTTCGATATTTACAAATTTTTGTGGGCTGGAATGGAGCAGGTTTCGAAACTAATAATGCATCCGACAGGAAATATTTATGTCAATGTAGAACAGGTAAAGGTTCCAGTATGTTTGACTAAAATGTGATATATCAGCAAAGAAATTTAACCTCGCCCAACAAAAAATAGTGGGAATACAGTAGAAAGTTGATAGACTTTTAGCACTTTAGCAGCTATAAGTCGCACTATCACTAACTCTGGTAGTGTACACCGTAAAGCACAATTAATTACCAGTAAGGGTTCAATAGCCAAAGAGAAGCGCCTGTGATATATGGGAAAAAACGATATCACGTGCCCCGTATAAAACAGCTATTGCTGGTTTTAGAGAAATTTGTTTTTCTTTTCTTCAGTTTTGGTGTTTCTGTCCCTTCCCACAGTGCGTGTCAAAGCTCCTGCAGCGTCTTCTGTGTGATGCTCGTCTCTTTCTCGCCTGATTTGTTACTGGACGCTCCGTTCCTGTTTTTCTCCTGTCCTGGGGGGGAACGGCTTGTTTTATTCGACTTTGGATGGGGGGGTTAGCCGAGGGGTAGCTGGGTGGGCGAGTGTTTCCTAGTTGGTAGGTTGCAACACTTTTCTGTTTGCTTTCTTCCTGAGCTAGAGGATGGACTCTAGCGTCTAAAGTCACTGTGTATATATACAACAGATATATGGTGAGAAACAGGATGTTCAGGTGAGTGGCGACCAAAAAACAATTCAGAAAGCGAAGACGACGGAAGAAAAAAATTTTCTGTTTAGGAGACAAAGATGTTGTCAGTTCGGGAAAGACTAGATAACTTCTTTTCTCAGAAAGTGCCCTACAATGTGACACCATTTTCTCCCTTCCCACAATTCCCATAGAAAAGCTATACTCTGGTCCCTTATCCGTCCGTGCCCTTCCCCCCCACTCCTCTTCGTCCCTCGTCTTGTATTACTGGGTCTGTGTATCGCGTTGTGGAAATAAGCATGAATGTGTTCTCTGCGGAGTCTGTCTTTCGTAGATAATATCTTTTATTGTTTGTAGACGCTATTGTTCGTTATCTGCGATACATACTTTGCGGCCAAGAAAATACTGTGGAAGTTCAAGTGTTGTCTATTTTGTCACTGCAGACAATAGCTCGTACGAATGCCCAAACAAATTATTGGGCTTAATCATTATGATGGCAGCCAAAGAAAAGCTGGGTAAATTCCTTGTATTAGGAAACAGTCAATTCTCTCTCAGGCAGTTTCTGTATCAGAGATCCGTTCCCAATGACTTTCCCCAGTGTTTACTAATTGCTGATTTCAGTAACTGTATCTAGTCGGTAAAGTGGTGAGAGCTTAGCTTTGAGTTCGTTGCGGGGTATTGTTACTGTCATATGATTATAAGGTGCTATTTACGTGGCTGAGTATATACAATTGTTAGGAAATATATGTTTGGTACCTTGTGATGCTAAAATGTTTATGAGGGATAGTCATTCTTTTAAGCGACGAGCTTTAATTCTTGCATGGCAGACTGCCAGCTCGAGTTCCATCTAATTTGGGACTCTTTTAAAGCCCCCTGCTTCAATTTCTTGTAAAGTTCTGGGTCCTTCATGGCAAAGATCAATGACTCGTGTAGTTCTCTTCTGTCCAGGAATTTCAAACCATTCTCGTTGTATTTAACCAATTCTCCAAGCACAGGGTAGTTATATGCTATTACAGGTATACCCGAGCCATACATATCAAGTATTTTCATAGGTAAGTCGAGGCCAGAACTGGACTTATGTAAAGAGACACCATAATCACACAGCTGGAGCAAGCGAGGGTAATCCTCCGATTTCAGCCAGACAAACTTAACATACACATGCTGCCAATCATGCTCTTCTACATCTTTAACATATCTTTCCTTCATGGGGCCCTTTCCTGTAACAAAACAGAGAATCTTTGGAAGGCTTTTATCAAGATTCTCATAAGAGTTGTCGTAGATTTTCAACGCACCAATCAGTATACTAATATCTTCATCTGGAGTGAACGAGGTAGAAGTGACTATTATCTTGTCTCCCTTCTCTACATTGAATCCCTCAGGGATCATATCTCTGATGAACTCAGAGTCTAGTAACTTTGTGCGGGATTCACTTTCAGTGAGTGGTTTAAATTGTGTCGCAGGTCTATCATATAGCACCACACACCTTTTTGGATTCAAGCCAAAACTGTTGACTAAATATTCTTTCATGGCCTCAGTGACCGTTAAATTATAAGTAGCAAACTTGCCAAAAATATACTCTATGACATATGAGGCAAGTACAACGGGGTGATAAAAGTTTCCATTAAATTTCAATTGCATAATGGAATATGCCAAGTTGTGCCAATCAATGATAAGTTTACAACCACTCAAACGATAGAAAACAGCAATTGGTAAAATCGGAATCGATGGTGGGTTCTGAATTAACATATAATTACTGCCCCTAAGCTCCCATAATTGAGCAATGATAGCAGAAACTTGGAACAATACTTTCTTTACCAAAAATATTATTGATCTCTTGTTTCCTTGTAGCGTCAGCGTTGGAAGAGCGTGGACAATAATATTGGGATCTTCTGCAATAAAACCAGGAACTTGCTCTTCCACATATCCACATAACTCAACTTGCCAGCCTTTCTCACTAAAACTTCTGGCATGGTAGCACATTCTTGGTGAATGGCCTATATCTCCAAGCACATAGATGATGATCCTCTTTTTTGAAGACTTATTCCCATAAAAGATATATGGCACCAAATAGTAAATAATTAATGGCAGAGACAAATATGTCACTATTAGGGTCACAACCCAACTCCATGGTATCTGTATCCAAGACATAACTCGTTTATAGCTAAGCTAACCTCTTGCAGGTTGGATAATATTTTATATTTAGATAACCATGATAAATATAAGAGAAGGGAATCAGCTAAACACACTTAGATATTATGATAGATTTATAGTTGATCAGTGTATTATCTTATGCTAATCTATTGGTAACTGAACAAATCGATTGTTCTCGATAGCACCTCGCATAGAATTTGATGTTCACCAAGAAAAAAAAAGGTGCCAAAAGAGACGAGATGATATAAACCACTTAAATAATAGATATAGTAGTAATTCTTATCCAGTTTTCATTAGTGTTTTTATTATATAAAATGAGTTAGATCTTTCGAAGATACGTAAGATATTCGTTGCTCATATTGATTGTATTTTTAATTGGGGCATTATTATTTATGTAAGCGATCAGGCTCGTTAGGAACTGCGTCCTTTAAATACTTTGAAAATGGGTTATCCTCACTCCCTTCTAGGCTAGGGCTGGATTTTGACTGTGCATTACGCTTCTTTGGAACAGGTGGTGGTGCTTTTCCTTTTGAATTTGATTTCTCGGTCTGAGTTGATTCTAACTGTCCAGCTCTTTTTGGCTTTGTAAAATCCGCAGTTTCTCCTACACTATCTACTACCTCCTTTGAGAGCTCTTCACGTTTAAATGGCTTTGGTGGAGGTGGAAAACTCGAAATTGGTAAAAATTTTGACTCGTCAGGTTTTTCTATTGTAGTTTCTTTTCCCTTTTCAGTGTTCAAATTCATATGGTTACCTTCTGAAGTTAAACTTTTAGGTTTGGGTTTGGGTATAGGCGCCGGCCTTTTTTTATTTTTTATGGTGCTCAATAACTCATTTTTGTTATCAAACAACTGATCCTTATTCTTCATGTTCTTATCAGCTTGTTGGGTAGATAAATTCAAATCCTTCAGTTGTTCTGGTTTCTTCGGAGGTTTCGGTTTCTCAGATAACTTATTTGAAGGAGTATGACTCTCTTCTAGAGATTTATTATGTGGTTTGGGTGGTGGGGGGAAGTTAATATTATTGCTAGGTGGTATATAGAGTGGCGTGGCATTTTTGATACTATCTTTTTCTTGCATAGGCTGTTGTGATTTATTTGGGACACTGATATTAGATTCATCTGTTACAAGAGAGGACTTCTGAGGAATATCAGATGACGTTTGAGCCCTTCTGAAGGGTTTTGGAGGTGGTGCAAAATCAATTTTCTTGTCTAAGTTATAAATACCTGAAATACCTGGGGTGGGTGTAATCTCTTGGCTTCTTTCAGCTATGTCAGCTTTAAGTTCTTGTGCTCCTTCTCTCTCCCCAGTATTCCTCTTTGGTACTGGAGGTTTGACAGAACTGGATTTAATGGAATTATAATTATCTCTTGATATGCTACTCATTTTGTGTTCGGTAGTAGATCTGCTTAATGGTCTATTTGGAGGGTTTGCCTCAGTATCAGTCTTTCTGTAGGTAGGTCTAGGTGGAGGCGCAATACCCACATCCACATTGGTTTCGTATTCACCTAAAATTTTAGCTTTTGGTAAATTTTCAGAGCTATTGGCCTTGGTGTTCATTTGCCTTAAAGGTAATGATGGCATTACATTGCTCGAATTAGGTCTCTCGGCTGACTTGTTGGTTAAAACTACAGGAGGTGGGGGAGTCTTGGTGTTTTGAGCACCGGATAGTTTTAGATCTGAAGAGTTATTTGTCGCTCTTCTAAATGGTTTGGGAGGAGGAGCATAAGCAACATTCAAAGTATCATCATACTCGCCTAATATTGCTGGCTTTGGCGTGTGTTCTTGGTTCGATTCAAGGTTCCCGTCGACAATTCCCGTTGTTGTGACAGAGGCTGTAGATGTATTGTTACCTGTATGTGTTCTAGAAGGTGGTGTGCTATTAGATCCTTGTCTACTTGTATTTCTGTCTCTATGTGTGGGGGGAGGTGGGATACTGGTTAAATCTACCTGTGGTATCTCAATTTTAGTAGTTTTCTGTTCTTCCCAGTCATAAGGTTTAACTTCGAATTGAGGACCAACTGCAGGTGATGAAATATCAGCTTCTATATTGGGATGAACATTTTCAGTTGTTAAAGGTGGCACATTTCCGTGCTGTGGTAACGGCATTGCTGGTCTCTCCATAGGTTGAGGTGCATGCCTATCAGAGATATTTAGTTGTTCACTCTGTAAATATTGTTCCTGAGGCTTATAATTGGATGGTAGTTGCTGGGGGTTCGAAGGCTGTATATGAATGTGCTCTTGTTGTGATGGTACTGCCATTTGGGGTTGAGATGGCAATGTTGTAGAATTCATTTGCTGCTCTGGGGTTGCAACTTGTTGTTCTGGGATTGCCATTTGTGGCCTTGAGTAAATTTGGTTGGAACTATTTATTTGATTCATATAGGGTTGTTCATTTAGTTGTGCTGTGTTGTTTGTATTTGAAAGAGTAGGAATCGTCGCACTACTTCCGTTAGCAGAATTTCCGGAACTGCCATGATATTGCAACTGTCCTGGTTTTACTGGTGGTGGTGGGAATGCAGATGGATCTTTGTAGTTAATATGAACATTTGGAGTGGTCTGTCCACTATCATCGCTGCCTTCTTGGCTTCTTCCCTCCCTTTTTGCTTTACTGTTTTGGTAATGTGACTTGCCAGCTTGGTATCCTGTTTTAGCAACAAATTTGGTACTTTTATAACTGTATTTACCAACTGTCTTCAAGCCCGCGCCAATTGTATCCTTGTTATTATTCCAAAACTCACTCATCTTCTGTTATATACTTCCTTTATGTTTTTTCTGCAAATGATTGATCCACTTGACTAAGTGACGCTATTTCAAAAGTTTATAGTAATAGCAGTGATGAACAGGAATACTAATAAGGATATCTTGATTATAGTGCCATACTATTATTGATTTTTTGCAATTGAGTCTTTTATCTTACTAGAGATAAACATTCTATAACCATTCTAATTTAAAGACTGATCACGAAAAGTAGTGAAAGGCGATTTTAGCAATGTTGCACTTGTAAAGCAGAGTAATGCCAGTGGCTTAAAGAACATCTGCTAATCAATGGAGTTATTTCACCACAAATAGTTATATAATGATTAAAGATAGATGGACGGTGTTTAGATCGTATAGGCAAATTCAATTTAGTGTCGATGAGCTTTTGAATAGTGAACTGCCGTTTCGCGATGAGCTCGAGATGAAAGTCAAAGAGGATCGATTAAAATGGATTGAATTGAGTCACAATAGTACAGATAAATTTCAAATGCTCATCTATAGTGAGGAAAGCGATGGTACATTAATATTCTGTAAAAATTTTGACAGCATGGACCAATTTTTACTTGAATGGATTCGACGGGCTAAGAATGTGCTAATATTCCCGGTAAAGCTAAAAGTAAACATTGATGACTTATTTATACTATTCGGGAAGATGCGTAATTTGATGTTCGTTTTACAATTTGATGATCTAGTAGATAAGAATCTGAAGGAGATGACTATAACTGTGGATCATGATGAGCAGAGTGATATACTTGCGCGGGTTTATTCAGAGTTTGGATTTCGCAAGGCGCTCTTCGCCAAGTATTTGTCTGTTGCTACATTCACTGGTGGGAGTGGCAACCAGCATTCAGTTGATTTAGTAAGAAATGAATTTTCATCTAATCATGAATGGGAATTATTTGAAATGATTGTACAAGATCAGCTGCTAAGGAAATAATTTTATAGATAAGAGTAAGTATTTGACATGTATTTATTTCGTTGGCTATGGAATAATGTATACAATACGGTGTGTTATCAGCTTGCAGATAAGGGTATACTAGTACAGGTAGATTGTGATAACTTCCAGATCCGCATGAATGAAAGACTACCAAATAAAACCAAAATCTCATCAAACAAAAAAGTATAAACACAATTTTCAAAGTTTTAATTTTATATAAGGTGTGAAGTAAAGATGATAAAAACATACAATTCATACGTGATTGGCATTGATCTAGTGCATATAATTTACTGTTTTTAATTTTTTGTCAAGTTGCTAGGTGAATTATTGTGATTATATCATATGACCTGTAACAAAGGAAATCAGCCGGATAAGTACAAAAAAGGTTGTGAAAGGCTAAAGTGCATAAATGAGTTTGTATATTTTCAGAGGATAATGCACTTTCATTTACTCTGCCTTGATACCAGCACCACCGTTACCAGCCTTTTCAGCCTTTTCGACAGCTTCAGCTGGGGTAGAGTTCTTGGCGCTACCACCGAACAAAGATGGGGCAACGAAAGGTCTCTTCAAATCACCAACGGCAGGCTTGTTAAACAAATGAATCTTGACGACGTTGTGTTCAAGGGCAGACTTAACTGGGGAGATGGATTGCATGAACAATGGGTTAACGTAGCCCATGTAGAAGTGCATGAATCCCATCATTAGAACACCGGTATAGATGGATTTGATGGCGGAGTCCAATTCTTTCAAGTCATAGTCTCTGACAGTAGTGACGTTGAATTTCTCCTTTTGGCTCTTTTCCAAAGCCTCAGCAGAGAATGGAGAAGTTTGTTCAACGTATTTCAAGGTGGTCAAGTCGTTCTTGGCAACGACCTTTGATCTGGTGTATTGGTACACCACATAAGCGATAGCGATAGAAGCAACGTAGGCAATTCTAATGTATAAGATGTTAGTCTCGTCTTCCATATCGATACGACGAGAAATCTGCATCATGACCAACATGATGATAATATTAGACACTTGTGGATTCATATTTGCGAGTGTATGTATAATGCGTGTGTGTGCGTAGTGTATGTGAAGATAAACGCTCGGAATAAGGACCTTATTTTAAATATTAAGAAAACAGTAGGGACTACAAAAGATCTATTTAAGTAGAAACTTAATCATCCAATTCTTCATGGTGGCAAGAGATACTTTTTAATCTGTGTGTGTGTGTGTGTGTGTGTGTGTGTGTGTGTGTGTTAGGTGTGCGTTTGGATTTTGACATCACGGTTGCGATGGGGCCTAAATTTTTTTTTTTCAAATTTTGAAAAACTTCAAAGACTTTCCATGATTTTCTTGGTGCTGTTATGTTACGTTGTCTTCCCATATTCTCAACAGAATTGGCATCTAAGAGAAGAATGCCCTCTCTGTTGGGAGCAAACGTTGTAAAGAGCAAAAACGCACGGCTTTCCTGGCATTTCGCCCGAAACTGTTTGTACTGCGATAAGGCCAAAAGTTATATGCCTTGCCTTCCTTGCTGTGGTCACATGAATCACTGTCATGTATGTGCTGATAAATATCATGTGATATCTACTAGTACGTTTTATAACACATGATTAGTCGTTGTTAGTGTATAGTTGTTTTGATTTTAGGAGTTCTTGCCTTGAAAGGGGGGAGAGCGGGGTAGATAAGGAGATCTACATATTTCTCTGTGCCCCACTTTTTTAACACTGCGGTTTTACTTTCTTTTTTTGTAGTAGTAGTTTTGTTGTTGTTTTTGTGTGGATCTCAAGGTGCGGGTCGTACGTTTGTGGCCTCCCTCTCTTACTATGGAAGTTGTGGCTGCGGTGGTTCACTGACAAGTTAATTTTTCACAGTTTTTCCGGTGGAATGAGTACGTTTCTTTTTTTTTGTTCTTAGACTACAAGGCGTGCTCTCTCCCTCATTCAGATACATGCACATAGGAAGACAGTTTTTCCGGTTAATCAGTAGGTATTTATTGTTTCTTTTTTTTCTGTAGCTGTATTGAAATCCCAGAGTTATTCCGTTTGTAGGGTGGGTACTGAGCATTGTCTGCTCATTGTCTCTTCTAGTTATTCCGGCTAGTGAAAGCAAAAAAAATGGACCCTTAAAAGAGACTTGTTATCTGTGAGTTGGAAGACAATGGGTGGAGGAAAATTAGCAAAGAGAGCGTAGATTTATAATTACAGCTGTGCGCGTGGTTATACATCGTAGAGGTGAAGGGTGAGATGGGGGTGGGGGGGGGGGGTCCTAGACCACACCTCCGTCTACCTCTTTGACTCACCGTATCAACTGTACTGGGTATCAGTTAAAAAAAATCAGATATGGCTTTTTGTTACATACATTACCCATGAATAATTTCCTGTGATTGCTAAGAGACACAGACAGTGCCAGAACGTTGGCCAGAGATAATATTACAAGCACAAAAAATAAATAAAAAAAAAAGAAAGTAAGTGCATGAGGGATAAAGTATGTGACAAACTGATAAGCAAAAATGGCTTCTAAAAGTATAACTCAGAGTATTCACATCAGGGAAAAAAAAAGCAATGCTCCTTTGATCTAGCAATCTCTTTTTTTTTTGAAATGATTCATATAATTAGTTATGCAAAGTATATATATTTAATATTTCACAAGAGGTAATATCTTTCCCTCTCTCACTTATTTCTTATAGCTTAGTTTTATTTCGCTTGTCGGTTATACTGTATATTATAGCATTATCGCACACGCATACAAACACAACATATAGTCTAATGATCGAACAGGATGTTACTCTGAAGAAGAAGCACTCCCTAAGGAAGAACGTTTTACAATACAACTCTTACACCAGGGATGGGAGTGTTAGTCCTATTGAGAGACCGCTGGAAGGTTTATACAAATGTCATTCAAAGGATTCCTTGCCATCATTGCAGCATTTGATAGACAGATCATCAAGCGAGTCCTTGCCATTGAAGAAGAAGAAGAAGTACATTATGAACGACCGCTCTTCATACACCACTGTTAGTGTGCCCCGCTATGTCACACCAACGCATAAGAATACCACACAGACCAACTTTTTGAGACCAAGACTTGAGTTTAGTGGATATCAGCTTTCTGGTTACAAGCGTTACCAAGTCAATGTTTCTTTAAAGACAGTAGACCTACCTACAGTGGAATCAGGCAATACCACGACCACGCCACATATTACGGGCTACTTAACCATTAAAGGTTTGACGTCTCAACATCCAGAAATTACAACATTTTTTGAAGCTTACGCTGTTGAGCATAACGAGCTTGGGTTTTTATCCTCCCAATGGCCTGAAGAGAATAACTATGAGCCATATAAATCTGATGACCAGACCGATCTAGAACACTGGTTAAACTTCCCAGCATTCAGAGAACTGTTCATCGCACAGCATGCTAATTTAGTTAAGGAGGATGAAGAGGCTACACCGGACTTCAAAAAAAAGAGACAAAGCATAAACACTTTGGCAGAATTATTCATGGAAAATCAAGCTCAAAATGAAGGACGTAATTATTTGAACGATAGATATATTTTTATGAGATGGAAGGAGAAATTCCTTGTACCAGACGCGTTTGTCGAAAATGTAGACGGAGCTTCTTATGATGGTTTCTATTATGTGGTACATGATCAGCTCACTGGTTGTATGCAAGGTTTCTATTATCACCAGGATGCAGAAAGGTTCCAACAACTAGAATTAGTGCCATGTAAGAAAGCACAAGACTTGTGTAACTCAAGTTGTACTTTTGAATTGGCATGAAAGTCATGTTGTTATTTCAACTATTAAACGTGATAATACCAAACCTTAACGAACGAAAATTTAATATTCATAACCAAAAACAAAAATTATCTAACGACCCACTTTACCTTTAATGACCCAATTTATATCATACTACTTTGCTCTAAAATCAGCTAAAAAAAAATAGACTATAGAATTACTTAACGGAAAATAGTTGATACTATTCTCATAACTATTATTTGTTTTATGTTTACTCCCTCTATAAATACAATGCAACTCAAATAATTAACATTTTTCAAATGTCCTGTATTTACATCTTTAATGATTGATTCTATCGATGTGTGTGCGATACACAACAATAATATATATGACTCACAATAATCATTATCTATTTGATGTGATTGATCAGCATCTCATCACTGTCTTATCTTATTACGATATGGGTAACTAAAACTTTTCAGTAAGAAATGACGTAGACCTGCTGGAGTTGAGTTTTGAGAAAAAATGTATTCAAGCATATGCAAACTGTATATCTAATAGTTTATAAGAGAAACAATAATATTCCATAAAGTTTGGTGTTATATTCGACAGATATTTGTTTGAGCACATATTCAACACCGAAATTAATTGATAATCGGAGAATGGATTTTACAAAACCTGAGACTGTGTTAAACCTACAAAACATCAGAGATGAGCTAGTTAAGATGGAAGATAGTATTATCTTCAAGTTTATTGAAAGATCACACTTTCCTGTATGTGCCCCTGTCTATGCACCAAACCATCCAGATTTGAATATACCTGATTTTACAGGATCTTTCTTGGATTGGGCTTTACTACAGATGGAAATCACGCATTCGAAACTACGGAGATTTGATTCGCCAGATGAAACGCCATTCTTCCCAAATGATATTCAAGAGCCTATCCTACCTAGAATCAATTACCCTAAGATTCTTCATGAAAAGGCATCAAAACCAGTGAACTATAATGAAAAGATCAAAAGCATTTATATCAAAGAAATCGTGCCCTTGATCTCTAACTCAGATGGTGATTCAAAAGAAAACTACGGTAGTGTTGCCACGAGAGATATGGAATGTTTGCAAAGTTTGAGTAGAAGGATTCATTTTGGTAAATTCGTCGCAGAAGCAAAATTCCAATCGGACATTGACCTGTACACCAAAATGATCAGGGAGAAGGATGTAGATGGCATCATGTCAAGCATTACTAATGCTGCAGTCGAAGAAAAGATTTTGGAGAGACTAGTTAGAAAGGCAGATGTTTACGGTGTTGATCCAACAACTCCAGTAGACAGTTCTGAAAAAGTAAGAAGAATCACGCCAGAATATCTTGTTAAAATCTACAAAGAGATTGTTATTCCAATTACTAAGGAAGTTGAAGTTGATTACCTTTTGAGGCGCTTAGATTGAGACTTTATAGCAGCGTCTCGATTAAAGATATATAAATTGCTTAAATAGTATAAAAACTGATACATGATAGAATTCTATAAAAGTAATAAACCGTGAGAAGTAAAATATAAATATTGTGTGGTCTTAATGCTAGATTTCGTTCTCAAATAATGACATATGTGGAACCAATTTGGGTTCGACAGTTATTATGGTGATAACATGAGGGTCCCCGTTTACTGCGCTTATTCCATAATATCAGGAGATTAATGATAATAATGCAAAAGATATTAGCCCAATACCCTCATTGTCATTTCGAATGACACGAATGTGGCTGCGTTAGCAGGTGCGGCCCTAATCATAGTAGGCACAAATCCTTTAAAGAAAGCAGGTATTCCATGTTGCTTGTACAGGGCTCTAGTTGCTTTGATAATTGAATTTTTATATTTAGGATTTTCGATACTATCTGTCTGTAGCACCGATTTAACAACATCGACTGGATATACCGTTAACCACAAGATTGTACCTGACAACGCACCAAAGGAACAAAGTTTCCAAGCTGGGATCTGATTTCTTGGTGTACCTTTTTCAAATTCTTTGACAACCAACGCCTCATATGCAGCAAAATATGTACCTAAACCATGGCCTGCTCTGATCATAGTTGGCAGTAATCCTCTCATTAATGCTTTTGCTTTGGCAAGTTTTTTTATACAGTCGAATGGGCCCTTGAATTGTCTCTCATTGCCTTGACTTGTTTGCGTTTGCAATCTTATTCTGACGTGCTCAATTGGTGCTGCTAAAAATGAATTTACCACACCACCTGTCAAACCACAGAGGTAGTATTGGTGCAAAGGTAGAGGTACATGTTTCTGCGGATCTACTCGATCTGCATTATAGGCAGCAAAGAACCTTTTCATGGATTCGTTCACCCCAAATTGTACCGATACACATATACCAACACCTAGAAGTGGTGTCAACATACCTTTATAAAATGCTAAAGCACCTTCATTTCTAAGCAAATTTTGAACAACTTCTATCACACCAATTTTTGTCTTTGATGTTTGCAGTCGGACTTTAGTGGTATCAAAAGGCTGGCCCACTAGCACCTGCGCAACACCACCCATAGTACCAGCGAATATATCTTTGACAACACGCCCATATGGTGTTGGTGGAGGGACATCTTCCAATTCGTTCAGCAGTTGTGGAGTTGGGAATTCTTCAGACATGTCAAAGTATAGGATATAGTCTCGTTCTTCGGCCGGCCAAAAGAACTTCTTGATTGCTTTAGATTATTCAAAAGAGTGTTTTGTAGACTTTTTCCCTCTATAAAAATGTATTTAATATATAAAAGAGTTGCAGAACCATTGTTTAGGTCATCACTATTCAGTTTTTTTTTGCAAAAATTCACTCCAGAGAGTCCAGTAGCAGAATCGATGACTCTACCGGAAGAGCGTCATCGCTCCCGAATGCCATTTGCTCTCACGTCTCACTTGACACCTCTACCCAAATGGCAAGTAACCTCTTATCAGTAGGATTCCAAAGCTAAAATTCTGAGCTGCTCAGGTTACCAACAGACTAAGGTCTGCCTTCGAGATCAAGAGTTCCAACTGCCAAAATAGAAGGAATTGTGGGTTTTTCCGATATGCAAATTAAAAGCTTCCAAAGCACCTAAGAGAGTTCCGTAGCAAATTTAGCACCTCTACAGCATTTTTATACTGCAGAGTCTTCTGTAGAACACTACTTTTTTCCGATCTCAGATCCGTGCATGCACTGAATGACTTGCAGGACAGTCTATGCCAAATTTACAGTTGTTCCGATGAGTATACTGTTTTCAGTTTCATCCCACATATACTTTGTGCACCGGCGTTACCTGGTTGCGTTATTGGCAGTTAGGGATGGTCATACAAAGATAGATTAATGTAGCTTTTAGGGCCTGCACAGGGTACTTACTATTCATATTTCAGAACAGACTATTAACTTACTAAACAGCTAGAAGAAAGAATATAGAAGAGTCACATGATCTGTAATATGACTACCGGTGAGTGTGTTGAGTGGTCGGCCAGTTCAATGCTTGTGGTTCTCAAATGTGAAGAATGGATGTTGGTAATTTTACAACTCGTAAGTACGCAATTAAATAGTAAATATTCTCATCTAAAGCTAAAGAAGGAGCACTGATCTCAAACATTGTCTTGCAAGTAAAATCATTGTACGATGGCACCTTCATTGATAGAGTATGCAATTGCGAGCCTATCTTCCTTCCAGGACAGATCGAACACTGAGTCATCACTATGCGCAGATTGGAAATCACCACATATTGGAATTGACATGACGTGATTCTTGTGCTTTTTCCCCTTACTGTAACGCTTCAACAAAGCTGCTAAGTTAAACACTGTCACCTGTCCATCCATAAAGCCAGCAGCATATCTTTCTCGATCATCGCTTATTGCGCCTGCAAATATTGGAACACCATCGACAATAGTTTCCGCTATCAGATTTCCAGTGATTTCCTGTAGCTTTTTCCCGCAGTCCCATAATTTGACGGAACCGTCCATCGATGCTGAAATCAGCATATCGTTATTTACCCACTTCAGTGACACAATAGTTTGCGTATGACCATAAAAACAATGTATGGAATTACCATTACCACCATGCCATACCCTTATAGTGTTATCATCTGCAGCACTAGCCAGCAATTTTGTTTCGCTGTTGAATTCAAGTTGACTGATTGTTCCACGATGTCCAACAAGTTTCCCTATAGGTCTTGAATCACTCATTGTATATACAAGCAGGTTCCCACCGGGGCCGGGAATTACAAACTTGTCTGTGTCGACCCATACAGTGTCAACACCAAACATTTGATTACTATTATTATTGTTGTTGCCATTGATTTGGTTAGCCTTCGATTCAAAATGCTGCAGAACAACGCCGCTGTTTACATCCCACAGGATTGTAATGTTATCAGCATCAGTCGAAATAAAATGAGTGTTGGAACTATTCCAGTGTATCGCAATAATAGGAGATTTATGAAAATTAAAAACATTCTGTAGCTTACCTTCTTTATTCCATAGTCTTAGCTCACCATTTTCTACACCAGTGGCAATAGAGTCGCCATCATGTGCCCATGATAAGCAAGTGAGTTGATTAGTTATTTTACCGGTAGTCGCACTTGTAGCAAACGGATGCCTTAGTTCATGAATTGTCTTTTCTATTAGTTTTATTTGGTCATCTGTAGTTGTTGTTTCTAGCTCTATTAGCTTGGCGGTTGAGTCGTGTTCACCAATTGCCAAGATATTTGAAGATACAGGATTCCATTGTAAACAAACAGCTTTGCCCAATTTGAATATTTCATTGAGTGTCTTAGCAAACACTTCTTCTTCATCGTGATCCTGGTCCATCCTCACATCATTTTCGGTATGATCAGCACTGACACCAGCTGACTCTGTAGATTCTAATTCATTACTATCTTCTCGGCCTAATTTCTCAAGCTCAAATCTACCCTTGGAAACCAATGCGGGATATTTCTCCTTATCTATCTGTAATGCCTGAACAAGATTGAAGTTCTCAGAGAAGTGATTCTCATCTATGGGCTTCACCTTACCGTTTGGATGTACTAGCAATTCGCTCTCTGTATATAATATGCCTCGTTGAACTAAATTAACCAAAGTTCCAACTGGTATATTTTCTTTATAATTCTTTTCAAACTCAAGCACTCGAGTCTCTTCTTGCAATGCTAAAGCACTAAGTTCGTTGCCCGTTTCCTGCAAATACCTCCATATCAGATAGTTTAGTTCCTCACTTGTAATACTCATTATCCTGAACTTCAATTATTTAGATCCTGTAAGAGAATAAACTTCAAACAATAGTAGTAGTACTCGCGTTGTGATTGCCTCTTAACTGATTAAAACTTTTCAACCCAGCAGAAATCAAACAATGTCCAGCAATTATCTAACTTATATGACTGTCTTAGCGTTTTCTTAACGTTGGCTATGTTGTTACCTGAGCAGGAATTGTTATGTATTAAAGCCCAGCATTGTTGATAGTTTCTTTATTTTCTTGAGCTTCGAACAATTTTGGCAGTGAAGGCCCGTCCGAAACTCAGGCATTTTGATTTGAAAAGCAAAAAGGGACTCTTATTTTGGCAATAATGGCCGGTTTCAATGGATTGTTAAGTACTAAGTTATCATAAATAGTGAGTTGCTGATATTTCCGTTAGATAAAGGATAATTGAATTATTTGGGAGCGTTTTTGAAATAGGAAAATACGTCTAGAAATGGTTGATTTCTCTCTTCGAAAGACTAGGAACTATTGGAAGGGTTCCAATAGTTCCTCTAAGCAAAACAGTGAAGTATCTTTAAAGAACGCCGAAAAGAAGAAGCCTGTAACTAATCCTTATGCTAATCTAACTGTACCAAACGCGGCCAACCTACCTACTTTGGATGCCAAGGAGAGGAATAAGGCAGCATCGTCTATGCAAAGGAGATTGTCGATACATACTGCAAATTATACAGCGCCCAATTTGGATTATTCAATGCCATTACCCTCTTCTAATCTAATTGACCAAGCAATGGGTGATGAGCAACCCACAGGGAAGGTGCCTGCTATCAATGTAGATGATGAATACGGACAGAGAAATGGACACTCTAGATCAGCTACGCCAACGGACAACGAAACGTCAAGACGGCCTGAAACGTTAAGACCCCCTGAGTTGAATAGAAAGAGATTGGGTGGAAGTGGGTCATCAGCGCCTTCGGGATCTTCAAGAATGACCATGGTAGCCCCACTTAACCCTCTATCTCCATATGCCAATCTATTTCATCCAGCATCGTTAAGAAAAATCCTATCGGATCCACAATTTAGTGCGAAGAAATTTATACATGAACGATTAAGTGAAGCCAGCGCTGTGGACATAGATCTGTTCACATCTAATCTAACTGAATTATCAACAGATGTACAAGAAGAAGTTAAGAGAAATATTTATAAATCATACAATGAAATCATCACTGTAAATAATGATCTTCATGAAGCTAGTGCAGAATTGAAACAATTAAGGTCTAGTATTAGTGAGCTAACCAAGGTTACAGACCAATTTGTCACAGTTGCGAAATCGAGAATACAAATGGACGAACAACAAAAGATGTTGCATACACAAAGACCTTCTTCACCTCAAAAGACACAATCGAGCTCTCTGTTACCACCAGTTTCTTCTGATATTAATGGCACAAATCCTAAGCGCGATAGAACTAGTGTGATGATTCTAGAGAAAATGTGGGACACACAACTAGCGACGTTATACAAGAATGTGGAGGGTGCACAAAAGCATCTTGGCCCAGCTTCTAATAGGCACCTGTTGATAGAATCTTCAGATTGGACTGAGCTCAATATTTCAACACAGAAGCCTTTACAGACAGTTCAACTTTATATTTTGAATGATGCCGTTTTAGTTGCAGGAAAGACTAAGAATAAGCAGCATGAACTAATAGTAAGTCAATGTTGTCCTATTAGAGATGTAACAATTTCAACTGACAGGGAATATCGAACAAAATTAATGTTCAATTTCGGTAATTCCAATACATGTTTATATGAAACAAGAGATATAAATGAATGCATGCGTGTCTTAGATGCTTTCAGGAAAGCGAAGGATGATTTAAGAGATATTACAGAGAATGAAAAGGAGAACTCCAAGAGGATAAAGGAGTCGCTGGTTTACTTACAGAACACTCAGCAAACCCCAGGTCGGGAGGGCTCTAAAAGTCCAGCAAAAAGAAGAAGTATGGGACTGTCGCCATCGTCAGCATCAAGACCACTATCTGCTTCTATGGATCAATTCATTTTACAAAATCTAAGTATTTCGGTCCACTCAAGATCAAAATCTCATGACTGGAGCTCTTTGTCCCATAAATTTAAATTGGTGGATAATCTCATTGAGGAGGTCGATATAGATCTTGCAAGACTAAAGTTCGATAGTGCGGTGAATACTTTGTTGGAAGCAGAAAGTCAGCTTGCGACCATGAAAGATCCCACAAAGGAGGAGGATGCCATAATATTAAATGTTCTTACATTAAAACTAGATCAAAGAAGGGATGATATTTTGACAAAAGTTACACAAAGGAATCTCTTTATCAATGAAATTGCACATCTGCGAGAAGGTGTGAAGACTCTAATCAGGCTTGGGCTTCCTGAGGCAGGACTGGATTTATTATTGCAAAACAAGTCTAATCTTATTCAGGAGTTGTTGTTACAGGTTGGATCGTCAGAACATCCATCGCTTTATTTGACTGAGCTTGCTATCGTTCGATTCCAGATTATAAAACGTACAGTAATCGTGTTCCGTGAATTGTTCCATAGAGACCACGACAAGTTATCATCAATATTGGTCAGTTGGTGTAGTCACGAGGTAGAGAAACACTTCAATCTGGTCAGCAAGCAGTTACTGAACGGGGATAAACTTTCACCAGATGCAATTAGATACTCCAGGAAGCAGATTGATGACTTGAAAACAGTCGGCCTGGACTTCGTCTACAAGCTAGACGAGTTTATCAAAAATAACATCAATAAGCTGGGCTAGATAACTATTGCTTTGAAGACTTTTGATTGACTTATAGTCAAGATGCTGTACTACAGCGTATATGTTACTCTATAGCATTACATACAATCGATATCTATATTGCCATTATTATGAACATCATATTATACGATTAGATTATTCGAGAAGCTTCTCCATTGTTCCCACAGAAATCCCCTGGAGCTAAACTTCAGACAGACGTCGTGCTAGCAAAAACTAAAATTTGCGATGCCCTCATCGCAAAAGTGCTTGTACAGCCATTATTTTTAAGTATATAAAAGTCAGACAGTTTTGAACTTATAACTGTAAAGACACCTAGCGACTCAACCAAACACAATCATACAGATCAGAGTCTATTTAAACTTGAAGGCAGAATGGAAAAGCTATTGCACTGGTCTATTGCTAATGCGCAAGGTGATAAAGAAGCCATAGAGAAAGCAGGCGCTCCTGATCCAAAGTTACTAGAGCAATTATTTGGTGGTGGTGGCCCTGATGATCCAACCTTGATGAAGGAAGCTATGGCTGTTATAATGAATCCAGAGGCTGATCTGGAGAACAAGTTGATAGCTTATGATAATTTTGAAATGCTAATTGAAAACTTGGATAATGCAAATAACATAGAAAATATGAAACTGTGGGAACCCATACTAAAGACTTTGGAAGATAATGAAGCTGATTTGCGTGCCAGTGGTCTTTCTGTCATAGGAACAGCAGTTCAAAATAATACTGATTCCCAAACTAATTTTTTAAAATATGAAGGTGGATTGAAAATACTTATTGCTATTGCAAAGAGTTCCGAAGAGCCAAGCGACGTTAGGATAAAAGCATTTTATGCCTTATCCAACCTTCTACGGAATCATATAGAGGCAGGTAAGAAATTTCAAGCTTTAGGTGGTCTAGACGTTTTTCCAGTTGCACTAAATGATCCAAAGGCCACTCCAAAGCTGAAAATGAGAGCTATATCTGCTCTCAGTGCATTTCTATCTTCGTCAAAGATTGATGAACAACTATTAGATACACTAAGAAAAGATGGTGTCCTTGTATCTGTGATAGAAAACCTAGGTACGGACAATGTAAATGTCATTGATAGAGTACTATCGGTTCTTTCTCATTTGATATCGTCTGGTATAAAATTTAATGACAGTGAACTTGAGATGCTGCAAAAAGAATTTGAAAAGATTGACTCTTTAAAGGACAGACTAAATGAAGATGATTATTTGGCGGTAAAGTATGTATTTTCCAAAAAATAATAGATCTGTGAAGTAATTCATTTAATGACATATTATTAACATTCCATTTTTAACGCAACCTTATATAATAGAGATGAAGTGGTATTTTTGAAAGCAGATGTGTACCCGCTATGACATCAAGTTCTTTCAACCAGCTCTGCGTTATAGTTCATACTAGAACATACTATACTATGCTTTTTATCAAGAAATCAAGACACTAGTATAAAGAAAGGAATTTGGTTGAAGTTGATTGTGTCTAATATTATCCAGGTCTAATACTTTTAATCTACAGCTTCATTTGGATCTGTAGATGTAAATATTTTATGTAATCTTTTCTCTAACGCTTCTGACATTAGGTAATTGCCATCGCTACTTGCCTTCAAAGAGCCTGCTTCGAAGTCGTGTAGTAATGACTGAAATGAGGAGTATATATCTGAAATTGCAGAAGCTTTGATATCGGGAACTTTTCCAATCTCATTTATTGTTTTCTTAAGAGTATCTTTTCTATCTGATGCTGATTTTACATTAAGGTGAGCATATCTCATATACCTTATTGCTGGATCCATTCTTTGTTTCCCGATTATGCTGCAGAGATTGGGTAAAGAATGCACAAAATCATTATGACTGTTGACAATATGGATCTTAAGACCCCATTCACGGTTAATATATCTTAATCGTTGTTCGACATCAAACTTTTTGAGGCCATAATCAGATTGTGGGGTGGTAACTTTATTTTGTTGTATACTTTGTTGACTATCATAGATCTGACTCTGAACCCTACTTCTATACTTAGTTTCTTCAATCTTCTCAAGTTCTCTTTTAAACTTTGCTAAATCATACAGTACAAGGATGATCTCGTAGTTATCTCGTTCGATCTCCTTTAATTTTTCAAATAAAGATCGCTTATCCTCCTTATATTTAACAAAAAATTCTTTACTGTCGAAATATAGAATAGTTGTATTCTCCTCTACAATTTTATAATTAGAAGGAAAGAAGAAATCATGTTGCAGGTCGTAAAAGCTATGACACTTCCTAAAGAACCGTATTCTAGGTAGTTCATCATGAATTGATTTTTGAATGGTTGCAGGTGCTAATATGCTTTTTAATATTTCTGTTTGTTTGTCTAGAAAAGACAATAGGCTGGGACTAAAATCGACTATAATATCTTCTCGTGCTTTAAAATTATCTCTCGGGGTTTGGTTTACTGCATTAAATAAGCCTTTTTCAGTATGTATAAGTTTGTTGTAGAGCTCTTGGCTTTCAGTCTCAGTAATATCCCGTATATTAGTGATATATTGTTTTAGTCTTTGACGCTCAAAGATACTGTCACTAAAGTTATGGCTATTCAATCCCTCATTAGTTGACTCCTTATGTTTGAATGTGATCTCTTTAAAGCCAACGGTTGGAGTATCAGCAGTAGCTGTTGAAAACGAAAGATCAGTTTCTTGTGTACATTCTATGTTGTTAAAGTTGTTATCCTCAAAAAGTACATCAGTTTGCATTGACTCTGTAACACCGAGATTTATCTTCCGTGTTGGTGATTTAATACATATATCTTTTGAATCAATGCTTTGTGATTTTTTGTGTCTTTCTGAGCTAGACTTTTTGATCAATCTGTTAGGTGATGATGCTATTGATGCTTTCTCTTGGGAACTTTCATACAAAGCGCTGTCGTTCTTTTGACTGTCTCTGGTGCGGCCACTAGTTTGTTTAGGAATAGCATCTAAGCTAAAATCATCTGTTGATATGCTCAAATCATCACTCAATATTTCATCCAAAATTCTTTTTCGTTGGCTGGCCGTTTGTGTGACGATTAAACTGCTTTCCTTCTGACTATTTCCCAAACTTGTACTATTGCTTTCAGCTGTCTTGTCATTAACATAAGGAATTGATATCTCTATCGACTCATCGATTTCAGTCGGATGTATAACGTTATCATTATTGTCTGATATTATTTCTTCTATGAGAGAATCATCAAGGAGGCTGGAATCATCTAGTATTTCAATGACTGGTGTTGTTGGCATTGAATAGTACAGACAGTAGAAGTCGATTACTATTCTCTAGCTTTTATATTTGTCCTTTGACTTGAGGGTTCATATAGCGTAAATGTAAGCTTAATGCCTCACTTTAGCAACAAGCTTGTTAAAAATATATACATATCAGTGGATTGCTGATAATTGATCTCATCACATTCTTGAAGGTTTGTTAGCATGATCGCGTAATTTTTCATTTTTCCGAGAAATCAAAATATAGAAAACTAATAGATAAAGTAGTTCTGAAATAACTACATATAAATTTATTGCCTTTTTCTAATATAATGTAGCTGTAAATATGAACAAAACATCTATCGTATTTTTTTTGTTGTTGATGAAGAGTGCAAACTCCGCCAAAACTTACATAAATATAGAAGCTAAAAGACTTTATCTTATATATACAATATTCAAATCCAAATTAAGGCAATTTTGCTTATCTTTAGTCATTGAATCTTAGCGACCGGATTGTTAATCCATTTTATAGCTTCTGGGAGTAGAACATAAAGTAATAGGTAGCAGAAAAAAATCTTTAAATAATTATCTTTTTTTGAATGTTGGCATTACTTGTCTTCGAATTGGAAAAGAAGGTGGTAAATTTTTCAATAAATAGTAAAAAGTGTGTTTGGTTATCTAAAAGCTGCTAACCAGAACATTCAAGTCATTTCTTCGTCAAATTCTTTTTGAGCATTAAATAGGGAAATAAAGAAAAAATAATAGGAAAGTTTGTAATGGAACATAACTTTAACTTTGAAGACATCGTTCATATTACACTTCCCTTCCTGTTTTTTTAATTTATTTGATTAGGTTTAGTTAACCCATTCTCTTGGCTTGGTGGTCACTTCTAGCAACTTAGCCTCCTCAGAACCTGGTTCTGGGTGGTGGTTGTAAACCCAAGAGGCGTGCAAAGGCAAACTCATTAGGATAGATTCAACTCTGGAGCCTGGGGTTCTCAAACCGAATTGAGTACCTCTGTCGTAGATCAAGTTGAATTCAGCGTATCTACCACGTCTGATCAATTGCCAGTTCTTTTGCTTTTCGTTGTATGGCAAGTCCTTTCTTCTCTTCATGATGGTCAAGTAAGATGGCAAGAAAGCGTCGAAACAGTCCTCGCAGATCTTTAGAATTTCTTGTGGGTCCTTCTCGTTGTAGTCATCGAAGAAGATACCACCGATACCACGGGTTTCACCTCTGTGGGCGATGTAGAAGTACTCGTCACACCACTTCTTGAAACGAGGGTACAAAGCGGTGTCGTGCTTGTCTAGAGCGGCCTTGTGCAACTTGTGGAAGTGCTCAGCATCTTCTTCGAACAAGTAGAATGGGGTCAAGTCGGCACCACCACCGAACCACCAGGTTTGTGGGGTACCGTCTGGGTTCCAGGTCTCGAAGTAACGGTAGTTCAAGTGAGTAGTTGGGGCCAATGGGTTGACTGGGTGGATGACCATACTCAAACCACAGGCGAAGAACTTGACACCTTCAGAGTTTGGCAAGCCGTTGGCGGACTCTGGCAATTTCAAGTCCTTGTGTTCTTGTTTCATAGCCAAAACAGCACCTGGAGTCAGCTCACCGTAGACAACGGAAACGTTGACACCACCCTTTTCGAAAGTGGAACCGTTTTGGATAACCATGGAAGTACCACCACCACCATCGTTACCACGTTCCCAGGTGTCAGCGGTGAACTTAACGGTATCGATAGATTCTAGACCCTCAGTGATCTCTTTTTGCTTTCTACGGATCAAAGCTTCCATTTGTTGCCTGATTGGCAAGTGCTTTGGGTCTTGTGGGGCAGTCATCTTCTGTTAGTATTATGTATTTCGTTAAAGAATTCTTCTGTGGTATTCTGTTCAAGACCACAAACTACAGCTAGGCAAGTCAAAGAGTTCAATAGTAAAATACACAGGTTTATATACATTTTTTTTTTTCAAAAGCCCTTGGTTGAACAATGATAACTTTCTTTTTTTCCACTTGTCCATTCACCATTGAGAGTGCCTCGATTATGCCATTCGTAATGGGGAGGGCTTGCCAGACACAACTGTTAGTTTGTTGGCTATTCAAGTAATCGATTCACAGCATGTTTTTTTGTTGAAAGCTGGCAAAAGTCCCTTTGATAATGGAAGCCGTGCGGTAATTAGCAGAAAATCTATGATCAGTCGAGAACTCGAGAACCAGAGGCAGGATAAGAGGCAAAGGGGCAGCTTTGGTAGCTTTGGTAGCTTTGGTAGCTTAGTAGCTTTGGTAGCTTAGTAGCTTTGGTAGCTTGGAGCCATTGTGATTCGTTGCTCGAGACTATTCTCTCACGTAATTGAATCCTGTCTGATTTGTTCAGAGACCCCCGGACAAAGAAAGGGACGCATTAGAGATGTTGTGGTAAACGAGGGTGAAGCGAATCCTCACTCCTCGTATATCTTCTCTGCGCGGGGTCTTGGGGGGAGGAGTAGGGAGGCTGTGGTCTCTGCGAATTCACTGGGTACAACTAGTAATAAAATCTCTCAGACACTCGCTGTAGGGATGCCAGAATGATTTTGATTTACTCACATTAAGTTCTGTGCGACGCTTGGGATGGCTGCTTGGTCTCAGTAGAGCATCTGTGCGTCGTATAGCTCGTAGATTCTTTCTCTCAGTTCTAAGGGGGGGCTACGGTGGTTTGTGTGGTTTAATAACAGGGTACTTCCGTGGGGAGGCAGCGGATCAATATTAGTAGCCGAGATCTCGAAATCCCGAGAGATCTGCCGGTCCCATTGTTCTCACGTCGTTTAGAGAACAATGGGAGGAGGGACAGTGACGTGGGCCGAGTCTGGTAGTGAAGGCAAGCACCACCAGCATAATAGCACAAGCCATCTGGTATCAACAATGGCAGCTAAAAAATAAGGTCAAGCCCTGGGATTCCTATTCTTGATTGGGATGATGCACTAGGAAAGGCCAACTTGAGAATAACCTGGCCGTTTAGATATCTCTCTCGCAACTGTGGGAAAGCCTCCTGAATCCCAGGTCAAAGGGCTTGCCATTGTTCTTAAACGGTTTTGAGGGAGGATGAAAGCGGAGATTCACGGATCTCTCGACCAATTGAGTTTTCAATCCTCATTAAAGTGGAAGAACAATGGGAGTCGAAGGTGGAGGGAATGTAGTTGAGGGAGCTTCTTTCTTTTCGAAATGCTTATGATGGTGTTTCATCTTTCATGTTTCATGTTTCATGTTGTTAAGGGGTTCACTCCCTTTCTCCTTATCTCCCTCTACCTCTACCTTGCTGTGTGTGGACCCGTTTATACTATTTTAGGTAAAAATTCATGACTCTCAATAGCAGTAGACAAAACAACAGGTAAAAAAATAGGCTTCTTGGAATCAACAAGAACTAATTTAAAAATTACATGAAAATGGAGCGGCAACATAACAACTTGGAGATCCAGGCAGCCAGAGGGGGGGAATAAATACAGCTATGTTGTGCTTGTGTTGTGTGTGTATGCTACCTCTTCTATGTTCAGGGCTACTTGAATTTTGTCGCCCACATAGCAAAATACTAAAAATAAATATAACAACAGAAAATAATAATAGATGGGTTCTTGAAACATGTGAATAATTATTTCTTGTTTACTTTATATTCTAATTTGTTGATATCTAGCTATATCTAGAGCTTTTATTTTACTTATGTTGTTAGTTCAAGGATGCTCGAGGGATTTATGCATAAAGGTAGCACGAACCCTTGAGGAATGCCACGGAATTTCCAAAAATTGCTGAAGTTTCTACGTCTTTCTGAATAATAGTGATCTCCAGATTTTTAATTCCACAAATATGAGTACTGTAATCTTTTTCTATTCATTGATGTATGTAGAGGCACTTGCAATACTAATAAGATCCCCTTCTTTTTTAAGTTTTGTAGATATCCCAAGACAAACTTCGAATTTCTAAATTAAATTGGCCCAAATAACAGCTACAATACCTTAAAAAATTATTTTTGATTATTATGTTAATTAAAACGTTCTGGACCCTCCCCCCTTCTGCTATACCAATAATGTAAGAATATAAATGCTCTGGTGGTATAATCTATCATATCTAACATTTGAAAATCTTTGTTAAGTCTAGGTAATTTCCTGTCTTAATAGCAATTGTATATGATGTACCAAATTTTATGGATTAGGAAATAGCAATGTTCATGTGTTATAGAAAATTGATAATCATTTCAACGATGAAGCTTTCTGACTATTGGCAATCCAGTTGCCAATTACTACAATCAACTCCTATAACAGTCTATCATTAGACTCGATACTATACAACTGTCAGTATAATACTTTTAGGATTTGCATATGTCAACATTGGTAAATCTATGTCTTAATTATAGACTCGGTTATGATATTTCAATTTTTTTGCCTTAGCGAGCAGGTTCATCGTTACGTAATGAAAAAGAGGTCTTAGGGTTGAAAAGATTTACCAGGTTTTTACAGTTTCAAACAGTAAGATTTTATTTACAGATACATAGGACTCTTGTGCGACATTTGTCACCTAAACTGGTACTAATTTGCCAAATGATTATGGGCTTCATGATAACAAGTAAAGATCACTATCACAACATGCGCCATTGAAACCCTCGTGAATGCAAGCCATACTAACTTGATGGTAGGTGAGAAAAACCACAAAGATCGGAATGGTCATTAAGGCCACCAATGCTTTTATTTTTTGATAATATTGTACGCTCTTCCATACTGTATGGTCACTCTTGCAAGCCCATTCTGTATTGTATCAGTGTAATGGAGACCATCTTTTACTGTGTGGGTTTGTATGCCGTTGAAAACTAAAACAATTATGCCCTCAGAAACAGACGTACATGGTAAATGTGCTGTATAAAAAAAATTTCTGAAAAGATTAGGCAGAAAATAATTTCAGCTACGGTATTTTCTTAGTGTTATGAATTTCTAAAAGTAGGATTTACGGCTCTTCGGTGTTGTGTGTTTTAGTACACTTTTACACTTCTAGGCGTAACACTTCAACTAGCATTTCTTTCATTTGAATTAAGCTAAGTGGCCAGAACCTATAATGGGTATCTTTCTCATTATTGATGCTATTGGATATTTCACCTTTGTGAAGAACAAATTTGGACGACGAACTAATCACTACAATTTGATAGTTATTAGGATATCATTGCGCGCTATGCGTCAGGATCAATAGCAACAATGGTTGTGCCATGCTGTGATAACTATTAAATACTTTCTTATGACTATTTAAAAGCAATACACAAGTCTTGTATTTATTTCAAACGGCCAATGGTGGACGATCGATCTCTGTCTATTCGTTATGTAAAATGTAAATGTCCTTCTAAGCCATTTACATATTAAACTCATACATAACCTTTGTATTTAGTCAGAAATTCATGGACGAACTAATCGTTCCCATAACCAAAGTATTTCTTTCTGGCCACAGTTACGTAAGCTGTCAAATCTCCCTTCTAGGAAATACCTGTGAAGCTAACATAGTGCAAAACTACAATCGCTTAGCGAAACGAATGGAAATCATCTTTACATTAAAATAGAAATGTTGAGCATAAATTATTGGATGGTTTATGTCCTTGTTTTCTTTTTGCTCCAGCTGTAGCATCTATTTTTTGTTGCAGCAGAAAGGCTTTTGAACTTCCTGTCAGCCCTTCAAAGCTGTTTAAATCTTGTATGAAAAGTAGGAATTAATTGCCTAGTTTATTTTTTATCATACCAAATTGAAGAATTTATATATGAACGCTCGGATGAAATTAAAATCTATAATATGCTTGCTTTTGTATATTTTTGGGGGAAATAAAATAATGTAATAGGTATATGACAAGCTTTTTTGCATAATAGACGCTTTCATATCTATATACTTTTGACATCAAGTGTAAAAGTGATAATAATGAAGTAAAGGAAATGAAAATTTACCTCATTGATATCAAATCTGATTGCAATTTACAGAAACAAATAAAAATCCTCATGATTTACTTTAGTGGTTCTTATGAAAATGATATTAGGTAAGGATGACCACAATTTATGTTCAGGCTTTTAGGATGGAACAGAAGGAATTTGTCTTTCAATTGTATATTCATTAGTTCCACAAAACCCTATCGATCCATTTTTTACTCTACGTGAGTTCAAGCTCTTTAGACATTATTTGCTAATTTTCTACTTTTGACCATTTAAAACATCAAGTGAACCATAGTATAGGCCAAAAAAAATAAAACATTAGGGATACTATGTTCTACTTATTCAGATGTAACTATCATATTACATAATTATTCAGAACAGGGTGAATATAATTAGTCTGAGTATGTAAGAGTAGAAAAAACTGAACTTTTTGGACTTGTTTTAAAAAAATGGTTATGCAATATTTGGAGAGGTAGGAAACCCTCACCTCTGAAGTATCAAGGTATCGAGATCAATTATTGGAACGAGACAAGTATTTTGATGACAGTGTGGAAAGAGCTTTAGGATTTTTTTTTTTTGTTTACCATATCCTGAGACTGTGTTTTGCACAAGGAGGACCGCAGTCATGTATCTGCATCTGTAGTATTAGCTTGGATATTCAACATGTTACTCAAAGTCAATATGCAAGGACAACAATGACAGGAGAATGAAGGCTGAGTGCAACACCTTTTCGTGACAAAATATCGGTGGGGTTCAAGAAGATGTTAGATATGGTACAAAACCACAAATCCGTATGCAAGAGTAGGCTATTGCCTGCATGGAATTAATCTGATGAGCAATTGCTTTAGCAAATTTTTTATCATTTCTCTCGGTCGGAAAAGGGAAAGCAAACATGCTATTCTTTATTCTATAACGCA